CATGGGCGAAGGCACTTGCCATCGCACCAAGTGCGACCTCTGCTAGAATACTATAGAATGAAAAAATTGTTTTACATGAATATTCTATATTATCTCATTAAAAGACATAGTCAGGAAAGGATACTTGAAGTTTTGCATTGAACGCAATAACATAGTCTGGTGGAAAGCTTGAATCTGTTGGCAAAAGTAAAATGTGCTCCAACAATCTGCCTCGCTTGGAAATTAAGAAAATCAGAAAAGCAACTACTACATTGGAAGTGTCAATATTTGGGAAGAAACAATAACAGCACCCAAGCCATAAGTTAATAACTTTACCGTTGTATGTCTTCATAAGCAGGAGGAAGAAACAAAAGCTTTCTATGTGAAAAACGAGATCTTACTCTTTTGTCCAAAAGCATATCAGCATCCTGCATGAAAATTTCTTCTCAACTTTGATGCAACTAATCCACATGCTAACATTAAAACCTAGGCATTCACAGTTATGGCAACAAAAGTTAACAAGGAAAAGATCACAGCAACTTTAAAGCAACATACCAGTCGCGAACTCACACCAATGACAACAGCCTGAGATGTAACTGACTGCATTGCATCAAGTAAACTATAAAGCAATCTCTGTTTTCCCTGTAAGGAACCATAAATGAAAAAGAAATATTGAGTCAATGGTTGTTTATCTTTATTCTATAAAGACAGCGTGAGTTTAAGAACTCAAAAAGGCATTTGCACTGCATGAGTTGCACAACTTGCAGAGATGCGACATGGGTCAAAATTCATATCTGTCGAGACTCATAACATATTCCCATGAGTAACCGACAATAAACTCTTTAAGGTATGTGTAGGTTTAGCTTGTAAGTCATACACTTCTTACACCTTATATGTTGCACAATATCGTCTTGTCTTAATATTTATAGTTGATACTTCAACCAAAAGCACCCAACCAGAGTCAATTTTGAGAAAACAAGTATGCTCATTTGAGCTCTGATCAAGCAAACCCCTTTCATGAAAGCTCCAGTAGAGAGAAAAAAGTACAAGATATATTTTCTCTAGGTTATAATTACGTTTTCATTGACATTCTTCCAACATTTAGTTTCAGTAGACCGAAGAGTGTGCTTGTTCTTTATGTTTCAGTCTGCACATACTCTTCTTCAATAATAGACATAAATTACTCCTTATGAAAGGATAAACTTTCGTATGATTTCCAGTGTAACTTTGCAGCCCGAGAAAAGATTCACAAGTTTTTACATGTTAACTAATTGCTTTTCACAAATCTTCACTAGTTTCAAAGAACGAAGAAGCCAAAGATAAATCATGAATGTCAAAGAGCAAGGCTGCAGAATTGAAAAACAAACGGGCAAAGGAAGATGAGGTCTTACCAGAGCAAACAAGTCAAACTCATCCAACACAAAAATAATTGTTTTATGCGCTAATCCACACTCCCTAATTAGCAGATAAACAGATCTGTCAGAACCTCTAAACCATTTGACAAGAATCCGCACCACGGAAACTTTATACGTACCTTAACATGGCTATCATAAACTGAGAGTTATCATCAAACGATGCCTACAAAAATGATCACAACATCAAGAAACCATAAGTTTTCGAAAGTACAATGCTTCAAAAGTGGTTTCAGATAAAACTATGCACATTACCATTCTCGAGAACACCAACTGATGCTCCACGCATAGCTGCCTAGCGATTTCCTGAATGACCAACAAGCATATTAAAAAAAGAAAAACATAATGTTACTATCTAGGATTCCTGAATGATTCATCACAATTTCAACCCCAGACCGGAAAAAATAAAAAGAAAAGTAGACAGAATCATCAACCTTGAATGCGCAGTTGTCACTGCTGTGTAAAAGGCCACTCAACCTAATCTGCAGCACAATTTCCACTCCAAATTAAATTGCAAATAAACATTAAAACGGGATTAAAAAAAGCAGAAAAATGCAAAGAAATTTTATAGAATAAAAGTGAAAAATGCCAGCATACCACTGAAATCATATCAGGAAATTCTTGTAATAAATCGCTGAGCACAAGCTCCAATACCTAAAACACGAGTAGAATAATAAAATCAACTGTATATTTATATTACAATTATAAGAGGAACTACAATGGAAAATTTGGGGGGGCAAACAGCAATTTTTCCGGAACCACGGGGACCCAGAAGCAAAATGGAGTTGTTGCAGGCCTCAGTGATCGAACTCGAAACTAAAAATTTCAACTTGCTGCAAAAACAATAAAAAAATTAAGAAAATCAAAGCCAAAAAGCCCCCAATTTTTTATTTTTTAAAATTGAAATTAGGGTCGAAGTGTGTGAGATTTGAAGGAAATTGGGGACCTGTAGTTTGAGTCGTCGGAGTGAGAGAGAGCTTTGAAGGCGAAATTTGGGTCGCAGAGCCGGGTCCGGAGCAGACATAGGGCACTCTCCGTCGGATTTTCCCGCGCCATTTCGCGAAGCAAGCTCAGAGCGAGAAGAATTGAGACGAGAGAGAAATGGCGGGAAGGAATGCGCAGTCGGTTTATACAGTACCAACATATGCCCCACCTAAGACCGAAGGCCCAAGTTAACTATGGGCCGAACTGAAACTTTTCGGTGGGCCGAAATTGCAACTGGGAAAGTGCTTGTAAGGCCCATTCTACGCCACACATTACGTCATCGGCGCATGGTAGAAAACAAATAGAGAACCCGCTACGATGCGCCATTGTCTTTGGCTGCGATTCCAAAAATATCGTCCCGACGAGCTGAAGAAAGAAGAACCCACCAGTCATTCACATTCAGACATCGTTCAGAAGAACCAGAGGAAGAAGAAGAAGCAGCGAACTTGCAGTTGGAAGAGTCGGAGGAGAGATGGGAAGCACCAGTTGTGCTTCCATTTCCAACTTGAACTTCGTCCGGAATGGCACCCGCAATTGCTTCGACCGGCGGGGACCAATCAGAAACCAGCTGGGTTCCGTTCGAGTCCACCACTCGAGGAGGCCGAGACCGGAGCTCAGTTTTCTGCGGATCCGGAGGAGCCTCCGCGGTGACGTCGTTTGCTGCGCTGTTGATGATGATTTGAGAGAGAAGCAGCAGGAGTTTGGCGCTGGACCTGGGGTTGGGTCCGCCGTCGAGGAGAGGCCTTCTACTGGTAACGCTCAACATCCACAATTTGTAACTTTTTTTTCACTGAATTTTGTTATTAAGTTAATAAGAGCTAAACATGGATTTTCTTACAATTGTTAGTAATTCTAGTGCTTTTGATTCTTTGCTAATCTGAGTAATTTGAGTATGTTTAGAAGCAAAATATACCTATCTGGGAGCTCTGTAATATCCGTTAAGTATAATAATTGTCTGGTACTTCTTGGAAAAGCAAAATATACCTTAAATCTGATCTGGGAGCTCTATAATAATTGAACTTTTCACTAAAAATCCAGTGCTTCTTGGAAAAGCAATTGGAAGTGCTTCGTGAGAAGCACCTCTAGAAAGCGCTTCACTTCTAAGTTTTTCTTCCAAATGTAATTAGAAGTGCGTTTGATTGAATGGAAGAATGTGCTTTTGCTACTACAGATTAGAAACCGAGTTTCTTTAGCTCCTAGTGTAATTTGGACCTTTTTCAAAAACAATTTGTTTGTACAGGTTTTGCTTCTGTAAAAGCATATAAATTTACTCACTTATCACAATTTAGATCTTGCCTTGAGAAAGTACGTGTTAATGTCTTCAGTTAGAAGTTTGACATGCCATTTTGATGTACATATAGATTTAGTTGATGGAGTGGAAGAAGACAATGGAGGAAGTTCGATTTCCAATTTTCTGTATCCTAGTCAAGAGCTCCTCCCGGATGATAAAGAGATGACCCTATTCGATCATCTGGAAGAGCTGCGTCAAAGACTTTTTATATCAGTTATAGCGGTTGGCGTTTCTATGGCGGGGTGCTTTGCATATTCTAAAGACCTTATAGTATTTCTTGAAGCTCCGGTTAAAGAACAAGGTGTAAAGTTCCTGCAGCTAGCTCCTGGCGAGTTTTTCTTTACTACTTTAAAGGTTAGACTCGGTGAATATCTATCCGGTCTTTGAAATGATTGTTGCATTTAAGATTTTGTTTTCCAGAAGTGCAAATCAGTCCGGCTAGCTATTGCGGAAGTGTAATGAAGTGTTGTAGGGACTTTATGATTAGTATTTCGCATAATAATCTCAGTCTTAAATGAGAACATTACCTCTTGCTCCTTTTTTTATGTGTTTTCATTTGGTTATTTCAGAAGTAAATCACTGTAACAAGTTCTTTTGATTGTTTACTGCAGGTATCAGGATATTGCGGCCTTCTCTTGGGGAGCCCGATCATTCTGTATGAGCTTATAGCCTTTGTTCTTCCAGGATTAACGAGAGACGAGAGAAAATTTCTGGGGCCAATTGTTATAGGCTCATCGGTTCTTTTCTATGCTGGTATCACCTTCTCCTATATGGTGTTGACACCAGCAGCCTTGAACTTTTTTGTTACGTATGCAGAAGGTGTTGTGGAATCTTTATGGTCCATCGATCAATACTTTGAGTTCGTACTTGTTCTCATGTTCAGCACAGGCTTGTCTTTCCAGGTAACGACTCTCCTCTCAAGTATTCTTAACCGAAATTGACTGTTGGTTTGTGCCCCTAAAATGCATTTATTGAAGTGGATCTCTCAGTAGAAGCTCCGTTAACGAATTACCTTTCTTCTTATTCTAGGTTCCGGTTATACAATTTCTCCTTGGACAAGTCGGTCTGGTATCAGGAGACCAAATGCTATCAATTTGGAGGTATGTTGTGGTTGGCGCTGTTGTGGCAGCCGCTGTGGTTACCCCGTCAACGGATCCACTCACTCAGGTTCTTCTGGCAGCACCCCTCCTCGGTCTTTACTTAGGGGGTGCGTGGGTGGTTAAGCTTACTGGCCGGTGAACCCTGTTAAACGCATGAAATTTATTTGTAGTATCGCGCATACAGTGTTTGTAAGGATCTTTACATTTGCAACGTGTAACATAAATGCGATCTTATATAGAACGAGGGTGGATTCTAAACTTGAATTCAAATGTCGAAACAAGGTATATTTTCTTCTCGAAAACAAAGACTTTCAAAGCTCTGCAAAATCAATTTCGTCTCTCACTCGCTCGCCTAGCTGTTCAAATCAATATTCTGCACACTGGTTTCTAAATCAACAGTATTAGGAGAGGCCACTTCGGATTCGAGCTGTCTCAATGAACTCTTCAAACAATTGCACGCCTGACTAAAAGCTTCCAGATTTCCGTTGAGATTCTGTAATTCGGATTGCATATCATCAACAAAACTGGAGATTTTCTCGGATGCTGCCTTGATAGCGGGAACCTCTTGTGGGGGGTATAAACAAGCTCCAAGCTCGTCTATTTGTATTCCGATTTCTTTACACATTTTCAACAATTTCTCCAAGGAATCCACAAGATTACTGCCGCCATTTGGGTTTTCCAGTTTAAGCAGACCGCTGATGGTGCGAATTAGTTCCTTTATTACCACAAGAGCCTCTGACACAACGGCAATTGCCAATTGAGAAACCCTCATCTCTTCAGGTGACAAGTCATTGCCCAGATCACCATCACTTGAAATTTCATCATCATCGGGTTCAATCTCTGCTTCAGTAGAAGGCTCAATAGAGGATCCATCTGTCGGGTCAGAGGAAGCTGGCTTAAGCTCCTTCATCTCACGAAGAACATCTTTCACCGAAACTGCAACCTTTGTCATTGCTCGCCCAATTGCTGTAATATTTGTGGCAGGTGTCATTTTGAGAGCAGAACACGCTTCCCATACTGCCCCGACCCACTGTGGAATTGAGAGTTTCCCATCTTTATTCCGTGCTCCTGCAAGTGTATGTTCCAAGTGAAGATAAGGTTCCTACTAGCTAAAGTAGTCGTCAAATCTTTAGCCAAGACAAAACACTTCCGACTACCATAATATGCAATCAAATAGACTCTAACGGTTATTAATCAGCATTAGCCTCCAAAATCTGATGTCAAAGGTCTGCACGAAAGCTAACTCTAGAAGCTGAAGTTCATGGTCACTTTGAAGTCATACACCAATGACCATGGGTACGTGATTCAACAAAAATACAAGCATGCAGTGATTAAGAACAAGAAATGCTACTTGAACAATGTATGGTTTGGAGAGAGAGAGAGAGAGAGAGAGAGAGATTACCATACAAAGAGATAGATTCCTTCCACAGCTTAAAACTGGTGTCAACAACTTGCTTTACAGACGTATGGACACAAGAAGCCAGCGTAGGCCCTGCACCGACTGTACTCCCATGTGAAAGCAGAAGAAAACCTTGCAGGGTATTGAAGTAGGAAACCATGTTTTCTTCAAGTGCTCTAACTTGCGGTGTTTCTCCTCCGGTCCAAAGCATTCCAACTGCATTATCAAGTCACATTTAGTCACTTGAGCATCAGGCATTATGCAACAGAGGGGAGAAGAAGAAACTATACAACCAGATCACCGAATCGAAACATAGATAGACAAAAACCATATAAGTCAGATCTCCATCGAACCTTTTTTCCGAGCACATGATCACTCAAGGCACATTGAAGAATATGGAAAAGTTGTTGAGTTACAGAAGCATATTTGTAAGGGTAATGCTAGAGAGATTAAATTTCTAGACTAAATTTGCAAACTAAATGATGTGTCATCAATAGGATTGAGCATGTTAATCAACGCTTAAGTAATAAACCAATCATCAACTTCCATGTCCTTTAGTTTCCAAAATTTAGTCTCCCTAGCATTACCTTATTTGTAAGGTCCAGAAAGGTGAAATCACAATTCCTTCTATAAATTTTCCAGATTTTGCCATTCGAAAGGACACTTTTTCGAATTAACTATACCAAGATATTAGCAGTGGACACAGATGATAAAAAAACTAAAATAAAAGCAAGAAAAATAAAAATCGAAGATTGATAGGACTTACAAATGGTAGCTTGTTTGGAGACTTGATCGCCCATCTTTGTGACCTCCACCCAGCTCACCTTCTCAAGTGTTGAAGGTGCGGTTTGATCCAACACCTGATTTCATCCAATTCAACAAACAAAACCATAAAATAAAATAATAATAATAATAATAATAATAAATTACAAAATTACAAAATTACAAAAATTAAAAAAGAAGGAAAGATTGAATTTCTAGAGACAGAAAGAGATTGAACCTGGAAGGTCTCGTGGACGGTGTTGAGGTGGTGATTGAGAGTTCGAGTCAGTTGGTCTCTCTCGGCTCGGCCCATCGCTCGGCGTTTGACGGAAGGAATTGCTGCTGCAGCAGCGGGTTCTCAAAATTCTCAGAGGTTTTGGGGGTTTTGTGGAGGGGAAAATCTTCTGCCGCAAGTGCCAATAGGGTAACGCGATTAACAGCCAGTTCCGCTAATCGACGACGTCTCGTCTTTTTATTGGGCTAAATGACCTTCGGCCCGTTATGAATTTTTTTTTTTTTTAGCAAACGATATTATTTACCATAAGGGATAGAAGGTGGACTGAGTTTTACAATAGAGTTAACAATAAAGTGGTTCAAATTCGCCTTTGGCGAGAATTGAACCTAAGACCTCACACGTACGTACAAGTGAAAATGAATACCGTTAGACCAATCTTAATTAGATAAGTAAACTAAATCTAGGATCACAAGGAAACTTAGGGGAGAGAGAATAGTTGAAACTAGATACGTAGTGAGTTGAATGGGAAAACTGTTGGTGTTTCGTGGCTTTGATGAGAGCCAATTTGGAGTCCCACATCGGCCAAGAGGAGAGCCATCTACTGAAGGTATACAGCACACACACAAATATTGTTGAGACCTTTTAGTAAAACCCCATACCCGTTGCTTCCGGGTGGCTAAAGTGGGGGAATATTGGGAATACCAACTTGTGCGTGTGGAACCCGTACAACCCCGTTGGTGTGCTTTCTCACAACTTAACCACAAAACCTATCCATCACTTTTTTTAGGAAAAGTATGATATTTGTTGATGAGGTAAATGAATAAGTACAATACAAGGATATGGTGCCTTTATTTAGGCCTGGATAAAACATTATCAGAGATTTCAACTTGATAAAAAAGAAAAGAGTATCCCGCACTAATTACAATGAAATTTTATCTTCGAATAACAAATCACCAATTATATCTAGAAGGTCCTTGAACTTGCTCCATTGAAAGACCATACCTTACCACTTGCTTTAATCTAAATCTAGATGTATCATATATTACTTCCTCTTGAAAGTAGGAAATATCCCTTAATACTATTCAATTTGTTTTAAAGTCCTAATTTCTGTTTTTTTTTTGTAAAACCAAAACTGATGCTTTAAAAGGGATTTATAATGTTAGCATTTGATTGCCTAAATAAAAAGATGGGAAATATAGAGCTCCAATCTTCTGCCCTTTTCACTTCTCTAAGTCTTCAATCCTTGTCTTTCATTGTTCACTTTTGTGCTAAAGGAAAATTTGGATTGTTCATCCAATTCAAGTATTGTGAGTGTACGTTTACACAGATCATAGGTTGTTGTATTTTGGAGGGTAGGGCGTCATAACTTGCTACACCGAGACCTAGTCTTAAAGAGGCGAAATCTACTCTTAAGGATAGTGAACTTACATGCCTCAATCTAAAATCTTGTTCTAATCAAAGATCGACGAAGAGCGTTCTCTACCTACCAAAGATAAGTATTTCGTTGTTGTTTCATTATTTTTATATGGTTTACCATGTCATCATAAATTATCATTTACTAATATTTATTTTATGTGATTTGTTGTAGGGAGAAGACGGATCGAGAGAGATGGAGGGTGTTTGGGGTGTATGAAATGTCTTTTATTGTCATTTTACTGCATGATATTTCAGTAGACTTGCCACCTGCATTCTGCTTTTCACATTGTCTGCAGAAACCACAAGGTTATAGGGGTACCATGTTGGAGTCAAGAACTCGTACAATCTCTCTTACTTGCACGTAATCAAGACGGAATGCCACAAGCATCCAAACGCGTTATTACGAAATTTTTGAGTTGCAGAAGAATGATAAAGCTAATCTCTCTCAGATAGAGAGGATTGTGCTCATCAACACTCACTACTCTCTGCCTTGTCGCACAAGCCATTAACTTCTGGGGGCCTTCCCTCAAATATCCTCTCCCTTGCGTTGCTTGCCTGGAACACAGAATACCAACGTAAGGGTCCTCGTAATTAACAAACCGGGGAAGTTGATGCCATGCTTAAGCAAATGGATTAAAATGGTAATCACAAGATAAAAATACGTTTTATCTTCGCTCTAACTACTTGGCAAGCAAACATGAGAACTCTGAAAATTACGGCGGAGAAGATCAACATTATCAGGAAACTTAGGGTTGAGGAATATACCTGCTTTTCCCAATTTGCACAAATTGTTACTAAAGAGAGCAGACTGACTTGCCCAAAAGTACCAACTTGTATTCCAATCCAAAGGCCTCTTCTTCTTAGCTGTAACCAGAAAGCCAATGCGATAGCAACGGGGATTCCACAAAGATAAAATGCTCCAAGGTTTACCCAAGCCCCTATATGCTGCCACCCAGTTCCTCTAACAATACCTGTTTCATCCATTCACAAAACATATTACTTCAGGTTGAAACACGAAATAACTCAAGTGCTTATTGGTAGCACCAGAAAGTTAAGGCAAACAACCTGAAAGGACCCCGTACATACTGTCCAGTATAACAGACAGGCAAAGTAGAGGGACCATGGTTGTGATGTAATCGATGACTTCCTTCTCGTTGCTAAAAGTGTAACCAAATGCTTTCCGGCAGGCAAAAAGGATCGTTATTATTATACTTGCATTTAAGACTGCAAGAAACATCGCAGCAAAAGTAGCTATACGAGCACCTTGTGGGTTACCAGCTCCTAGTTCATTTGAAACTCTAGTACTGTACAATACCCACCGGAAAGAAAAAGACAAGGTATTGCTTATCGGAGATGATTTTATGCAAATTTAACTGAAACAGGGTTAGCAGTACGCAAATATGTATAATTTGATGAAACTTAAGAGTGTGAACATACCTTACTGCACCACCAAACCCAGTTGGTATTGCGTAGATTGTTTTCGTCGCCAAGATACTGTCCACAACAATCAATTAGAATAATCACAAATTAGCTTATTTTTTGGGGCATAGTTCTTAGCATGTCGCTCTGTAATAGAAAATTTACCATGCAGACAGAACTGAAGTTTCAAGCGCCGGATTTGGTAAAAGTCCAGACGGCACAATAACCATCTCAAATGCCCACCACTCAAGGCTACAGTCATCAACAACAACAACAACAACAAAGCCTTTTCCCACTAAGTGGGGTCGGCTATATGATCCTAGAACGCCATTGCGCTCGGTTTTGTGTCATGTCTTCCGTTAGATCCAAGTACTCTAAGTCTTTTCTTAGGGTCTCTTCCAAAGTTTTCCTAGGTCTTCTTCTACCCCTTCGGCCCCGAACCTCTGTTCCGTAGTCACATATTCGAACCGGAGCGTCAGTAGGCCTTCTTTGCACATGTCCAAACCACCGTAACCGATTTTCTCTCATCTTTCCTTCAACTTCGGCTACTCCTACTTTACCTCGGATATCCTCATTCACAATCTTCTCCTTTCTCGTGTGCCCACACATCCCACGAATCATCCCCACAAAGCATCCTTATCTCCGCTACACCCATTTTGTGTACGTGTTGATGCTTCATCGCCCAACATTCTGTGCCATACAACATCGCTGGCCTTATTGCCGTCCTATAAAATTTTCCCTTGAGCTTCAGTGACCTACGACGATCACACAACACGCCGGATGCACTCTTACACTTCATCCATCCAGCTTGTATTCTATGGTTGAGATCTCCATCTAATTCTCCGTTCTCTTGCAAGATAGATCCTAGGTAGCGAAAACGGTCGCTTTTGTGATCGTCGCTAGATTACTCCGGTCATTAGTGTGGATAAGTATATAAATGGATAGAGATAGGAAAGCAAACACCAGATGTACGTGGTTCACCCATATTGGCTACGTCCACGAAATAGAGGAGTTCTCATTAATTGTGAAGGGTTTACACAAGTACATAGGTTCAAGCTCTCTTTTAGTGAGTACAAGTGAATGATTTAGTACAAATGACATTAGGAAATATTGTGGGAGAATGATCTCGTAATCACGAAACTTCTAAGTTTCGGAGTGTGGTATCGTCTTGACTTGCCTTATCTGTCTCGTAGGTAGATGTGGCATCTTCTCTGGAAGTACTCTTCCTCCATCCAGGGGTGGTATCTTTAACTGGTGGAGATGCACAAGGTAATGTATCAATTTCACTTGAAGCTTACTTGTAGTTTCGGGCTTGGTCAAGCGCGATACAAACCATGTAGTAGGAGTCCTCCAAGTCGCCGAGCTAGGGGATCTGCTGAAAGAGGTGACAGACAAGGTAAGCAATCAGAGCTCCAGGCAATCAGTCCCAGATCAGAACTTTGATTTCGAGTTCCGGCTGATTGTTCACATTCTCCCTATCTTGCAGGCAGCATGAAGGATAAAGAGAAGAAAAATGAGAAGAGATGATATGGGATACTTTTGCTTTTGAAAGAAGTAACTTTCCACAGGCTTATTCTTGAACTGGGCTGGAGGGTTTTCTGGTTTCCTCCAGAGTATAAGGCCGACTGAAGAATTTGAGGGTCAAAACAAGTCCATCAAATCTATAGTACGTTCGACCCTGCTGATATGAGATACTTTTGCTTTTGACAGAGTAGTGGATGTATCGGCACGTGTGCTGTTACGTTTGTCTCCACATGTTTCCTTGTATCCTTCTCACTTGCCCTATATGTTCCTCAGGCAGATGCGGTATCTTCCCTGGAAGCATAAGATGTTGAAGATGAGTACTCGAGAGCAATGCCAGGTAAGTAATCAAGTAAGGGGTTCCAGGCAGTCAGTTCCTGACTGGAAGCTTGATTCCAAGTGCTGACTGATTGCTCTCTTTCTCCTTGTCTTGTAGGTAAGAACAAGGCCAAAGGAAAAGACAGGGAAAAAACATGATATGAGATACTCTTGCTTTTAACCCTGATGATATGAGATATGCTCTAGTATAGCTTGTTTGCAGAGGTATTATCGGGGGGAAAGAAAGCTGAATATTTCGAAAGGCTTCTTTGGGAGTGCCCTCTCAGATATGAGGAAGGGTTGAGCATTTTTGCAGGTATGCCTGTCTGTTGGGGATGGAGGTCAATATATATAGGAGTCTCCCTAACAACAAGTAGTAATGCTATTCCTTTACCCTGCTTGGTCATAACACGATAGTGGGAGCTGCCAGCTTCACATGTTTTAACTTTGTCAGAGCACTTTGAAAAAGTGGTCTATGGTATTTGGAAAGCTGATGTTGCGTGTAAAGATTACAGACAAGCTTTATCCAAGGAGATCCGGCTCTTGAAGTTGGGAAAGTGGTGCCTCTTCGGTTTTCGAACAAGCAATCCAGTCGGAGATCTGGCTCTCGAGATTCAGAGAACGATGCCTTTTCGATTTTTGAGAAAGCCATCCTGCTAGGGGTCTGGCTCTCGAGATTCGGAGAGCGGTGTCTCTTCGATTTTTGAGAAAGTAATCATGTTGGGAGTCTGGCTCTCGAGATTCGGAGGGCGGTGCCTCTTCGATTTTGGAGCAAGCAATCTTGTTGGGAGTGTTTTCTCGAATGTGAGAAAAGGTTGGGCATGTTTGCTAGTCTATCTTGCCACGAAGCACAGAGGTTGACACACAGGGACTTTCCAATTATCCAGCAGTGGTACTGTTCCTTTACCCTTGTGGGTAATAATATGGTAGCTAGACCTTCAAAATTTATGTGTCTAAACTTTGTTAGTGCTGTTTCTTTGCTATTCTTTTACCCTTCTTGGTCAGAGCGGTGTAGTGGGAGCTGCAAGCTTCACGTGTCTCAACTTTGTCAGAGAACTTTGGCAAAGTTATCTGTGGTACCCATGAGCTAATGTTGCGTGTGGGAAGTGGGTGATTGAACAGTAAGATTCATGTGCTTTCTACTTCACCAGAAATCTTCGACATAATGCCCATAATTTCCGCAAAGCTGACAGGTGCTGACAAGGCTGGAAAAGTAGGTGCCTCTTCGATTTCTGAGATCGGCCCTCGTGGTCTCTGAGCAGCCTAGCTTTTGAGAAAGCAAGCGCCTCTTCGATTTCTGAGATCGGCCTTCGTGGTCTTTGAGCAGCCCAACTTTTGAGAAAGCAAACGTCTCGTGGTCTCTGAGCAGCCTAGCTTTTGAGAAAGCAAACGCCTCTTCGATTTCTGAAGCTTCGTCGAGTGCAGATTTTTATAGAGGCTGACATTAAGTTCCAAAGCACACTTGAATCTCCACCAGTAGAAGCTCTATTCTTGCACTTCTAAGATCTTGATTTGTCCGACCTCTTCTCTCTTCAACACCTTTGAAAATGTCTGGCCCCTCCGACCGTCGTTTTGACTTGAACCTTGTTGAAGAGGCAGCCACGCCTTCTCCAGACAACATATGGCGCCCATCCTTCGTCTCCCCTACTGGTCCTCTTACTGTTGGGGATTCCGTGATGAAGAATGATATGACCGCTGCGGTAGTGGCCAGGAACCTTCTCACTCCCAAAGATAACAGACTACTTTCCAAACGGTCTGATGAGTTGGCTGTTAAGGATTATCTGGCTCTCAGTGTTCAGTGTGCAGGTTCTGTGTCTAACATGGCCCAACGCCTATTTGCTCGAACCCGCCAAGTTGAATCATTGGCGGCGGAAGTGATGAGTCTCAAACAGGAGATTAGAGGGCTCAAGCATGAGAATAAACAGTTGCACCGGCTCGCACATGACTATGCTACAAACATGAAGATGAAGCTTGACCAGATGAAGGAATCTGATGGTCAGGTTTTACTTGATCATCAGAGATTTGTGGGTTTGTTCCAAAGGCATTTATTGCCTTCGTCTTCTGGGGCTGTACCGCGTAATGAAGCTCCAAATGATCAACCTCTGCTGCCTCCTCCTTCTAGGGTTCTGTCCAGTACTGAGGCTCCAAATGATCCCCTCCAGTGCCTGCTCTTTCTGGGGCTCTACCGACTGCTGAGACTTCTCCTAAGCAACCTTTGTGAAGGCTCCCTCTTGTTTGTTTATTTTGACTCATGTATATGTACATATTTGTGACTTATCGGGGATATCAATAAATAGCTTTCCTTCATTTCAACGTATTGTGTTGAATACACCAAAGCCTTCTTCGCTAAGTTCTCTGAATTTTCTTTTGTTGAAGCTTGTATGTTGAAGCTTTGTGAGTGGAGCATGTAGGTTGAGGTAGTATTCCCTTAATTTCCCGAGTGAGGAAAACTTCTCAGTTGGAGACTTGGAAAATCCAAGTCACTGAGTGGGATCGGCTATATGAATCTTTGAACGCCATTGTGCTCGGTCCTGTGTCATGTCCTCCGTTAGATCCAAGTACTCTAAGTCTTTTCTTAGAGTCTCTTCCAAAGTTTTCCTAGGTCTTCCTCTACCCCTTCGGCCCTGAACCTCTATCCCATAATCGCATCTTCTAATCGGAGCGTCAGTAGGCCTTCTTTGCACATGTCCAAACCACCGTAACCGATTTTCTCTCATCTTTCCTTCAATTTCGGCTACTCCTACTTTACCCCGGATAACCTCATTCCTAATCTTATCCTTTCTTGTGTGCCCACACATCCAACGAAGCATCCTCATCTCCGCTACACCCATTTTGGTACGTGTTGATGCTTCACCGCCCAACATTCTGTGCCATACAGCATCGCCGGCCTTATTGAAGTCCTATAAAATTTTCCCTTGAGCTTCAGTGGCATACGGCGGTCACACAACACGCCGGATGCACTCTTCCACTTCATCCATCCAGCTTGTATTCTATGGTTGAGATCTCTATCTAATTCTCCGTTCTTTTGCAAGATAGATCCTAGGTAACGAAAACGATCGCTCTTTGGTATTTCTTGATCTCCGATCCTCACCCCTAACTCGTTTTGGCCTCCATTTGCACTGAACTTGCACTCCATATATTCTGTCTTTGATCGGCTTAGGCGAAGACCTTTAGATTCCAACACTTCTCTCCAAAGGTTAAGCTTTGCATTTACCCCTTCCTGAGTTTCATCTATCAACACTATATCGTCTGCGAAAAGCATACACCAAGGAATATCATCTTGAATATGTCCTGTTAACTCATCCATTACCAACGCAAAAAGGTAAGGACTTAAGGATGAGCCTTGATGTAATCCTACAGTTATGGGAAAGCTTTCGGTTTGTCCTTCATGAGTTCTTACGGCAGTCTTTGCTCCTTCATACATATCCTTTATAGCTTGGATATATGCTACTCGTACTCCTTTCTTCTCTAAAATCCTCCAAAGAATGTCTCTTGGGACCCTATCATACTCTTTTTCCAAATCTATAAAAACCATGTGTAAATCATTTTTCCCATCTCTATATCTTTCCATCAATCTTCGTAAGAGATAGATTGCCTCCATGGTTGAGCGCCCTGGCATGAACCCGAATTGGTTGTCCGAAACCCTTGTCTCTTGCCTCAATCTATGCTCAATGACTCTCTCCCAGAGCTTCATTGTATGACTCATTAGCTTAATACCCCTATAGTTCATGCAATTTTGTACGTCGCCCTTATTCTTGTAGATAGGCACCAAAGTGCTCGTTCGCCACTCATTTGGCATCTTCTTCGTTTTCAAAATCCTATTGAAAAGGTCAGTGAGCCATGTTATACCTGTCTCTCCCAAAACTTTCCACACTTCGATTGGTATATCGTCTGGGCCTACTGCTTTTCTATGCTTCATCTTCTTCAAAGCTACAACCACTTCTTCCTTCCGGATTCGACGATAAAAAGAGTAGTTTCTACACTCTTCTGAGTTACTCAACTCCCCTAAAGAAGCACTCCTTTCATGTCCTTCATTGAAAAGATTATGAAAATAACCTCTCCATCTATCTTTAACCGCGTTCTCTGTAGCAAGAACCTTTCCATCCTCATCCTTGATGCACCTCACTTGGTTTAGGTCCCTTGTCTTCTTTTCCCTTGCTCTAGCTAGTTTATAGATATCCAACTCTCCTTCTTTGGTATCTAGTCGCTTATACATATCGTCATAAGCCGCTAACTTAGCTTCTCTCACAGCTTTCTTCGCCTCTTGCTTCGCTTTTCTATACCTTTCACCATTTTCATCGGTCCTATCCTTGTATAAGGCTTTACAACATTCCTTCTTAGCCTTCACCTTTGTTTGTACCTCCTCGTTCCACCACCAAGATTCCTTTTGGTGTGGGGCAAAGCCCTTGGACTCTCCTAACACCGCTTTTACTACTTTTCGGATACAACTAGCCATGGAATCCCACATTTGGCTAGCTTCCCCCTCTCTATCCCACACACACTGGGTGATTACTTTCTCTTTGAAAATGACTTGTTTTTCTTCTTTTAGATTCCACCATCTAGTCCTTGGGCACTTCCAAGTCTTGTTCTTTTTTCTCACTCTTTTGATATGTACATCCATCACCAACAAGCGATGTTGATTAGCCACGCTCTCTCCTGGTATAACTTTGCAATCCTTACAAGTTATACGATCCCCTTTCCTCATTAGAAGAAAATCTATTTGTGTTTTTGACGACCCACTCTTGTAGGTGATCACATGTTCTTCTCTCTTCTTAAAGAAGGTGTTGGCTAAGAAGAGATCATATGCCATTGCAAAATCCAAGATAGCTTCCCCATCCTCGTTTCTCTCCCCAAAACCATGACCACCATGAAAACCTCCATAGTTGCCTGTCTCCCTGCCCACGTGTCCATTTAAATCTCCTCCTATAAATAACTTCTCCGTCTGAGCAATTCCTTGCACCAAGTCTCCAAGGTCTTCCCAAAATTTCTCCTTCGAACTCATATCCAACCCTACTTGAGGTGCGTACGCACTAATCACATTGATAAGTTCTTGTCCTATTACAATCTTGATTGCCATGATTCTATCTCCTACCCTCTTGACATCTACAACATCTTGTGTCAGGGTCTTGTCCACGATGATGCCAACACCGTTTCTCCTTCTATTTGTGCCCGAGTACCAAAGTTTAAACCCTGAGTTTTCTAGATCCTTTGCCTTAAGACCAACCCACTTAGTTTCTTGTAGGCACATAATATTTATCCTTCTCCTCACCATAACTTCCACTACTTCCATAGATTTTCCCGTTAAGGTTCCTATATTCCACGTTCCTAAACGCATTCTACTCTTCCTGAACTCTACCCTTCTGTCCTAGCTTCTTCACCCTCCCCCGTCCAATGGAATCAAAGTACTTCTTTTGTGTATCCCGTGTAAAGTTGATAGGTGCATATGCGCCCAAACAACTTTGAGTGGAGTCGTTCGAAAAGAAGTTTCTATGGCCCCCTTGCTCATTTAACACTGCATCCGGGTGCCTATGGAGATACAGCGACCCTTGCTCACTTATCACTGTGCTCGGGCCACACAGCGCGCCACTTACGGGTGACGCCCTAGCTTTAGCGCGATTTCGTTCTGAATTCATTTTCATAAGGATTCGATGTAACTGTGGAGTGCCGGCTGTCGACTACCTGACGCCCTCCCCCTCCTCCTTTACCCGGGCTTGGGACCGGCCATGTAAGATAAACTTACATAGGCGGAGTTCAAGGCTACAGTCATGAGCAATAAAAAAAAAGGAAGAGTTGAAGTTTGAGATTAAATGATGTAAGAAATTAGAATACAGGGACAAACTGGCTACCATATCATTACTGCAGAAGGGATGGCAAATCGAAGGAACTCTCTGATTCTATGCAATAGCTCCTTTGAAATTGGAACTCGACTTTTTGAACAGGCAGGGGAAAACTTCATGTATAACCAAAGAAAAATAACATTGAACCAGTAGGAAACGCCGATTGCTAATGATCCTCCAAGGTGATCCAATCCAGACTTGAATATTAGAACCCAGGAGAGAGGAATATGGAATAAAAGAGTGGCGAAAGAGCTTATGACCATAGGCATTAATAAACTCTGAGTTTGGAAGTACCGAACGAGTGGTTGAAGAGTTGCATAAGCAAATAGAGCAGGAATAAGCCAGATTATGAACTTGCCGGCTTCATGAGAAATCACAGGGTCTTGACCGGTGAAAATCAGTATCTCCTCCATATAAATCCATATCAAAGATAAGGGAAGACAAACTAAGTTGAGAGAAAATATGGCAGTGTAAGTTTCAAGTCCAAGTTTCTGATATTGTTCTGCTCCATATGCTTGCCCACACAGAGTTTCCAGTGCACTTGCCACTCCTGTCTGTTCAAACAGCAAGTTACAAATCAAATTAGTTTTTCGAGACAGATTATTTCTACGATAAAATTTATGTGGTTATGCCAGTTGATCATGGCAGTTTGTACCCGAGTTCAAATCCCATCTCAATAGACGTAGTAGCTTAGAATATCACATTGTGAAAAGATATGGACTTTTGATTCATAAAAAAAAACAAAAGTTTCTTGCATTCTATACATGGTAATGTTAATTGGGATTTCTACCAACAGAAACCAAACAAAAGATGAAGAAGAAGATGGAAGGAAGATAGAGACTTACAAAAAGACTGAACCCGGTGATGCCGGCGAGGGAGAAAGCAATGGAGGAGCTAGAGAGAGCAAGTTCACCCAGGTGACCAACCATCGTCACTGAAATGAACCGCAGCATGAAGTGGGAAAGAACCACAGCAACCATGGGTCCTGCAATGCATCCCAACCTCTTCACTTCTTCGAAAAAAGAACCCCATGTCAGACAACTACTACTACTACTACTTGAATTTCTACTTCTTCTTTGTTGCTCTCTACTGTAATCTGACAATAGCAAGCTCACTTCCATGGCTGTGTCTTTTGCTGTGGAACTCAATCGCCGTGGCCGCCTTTGCAAAGAGTGGTTGTATACAGCCAATATGACAGCAAGAGAAGCAAACCAGTTATGTAGCATCTTTATTTGCATAGAGTGGTAGTTTACATATTTTCTAATGATTCTGTGCAGATTTTTTTAATATTATACAAAAAATGGAGCAATTATTTGCTTTCTTTATTTGCTAGGCTACAAAAAAAGAGCCAATGTGACAGCAAGAAAATCAGAGCAAATATTATAGGGCTGATTTGAAATGAATAAAAAAAATAAAAATCATGTTATACACGTTAATTTTCGATATAGGGGTTGAGAAAGAAGTAATCTTTGTATTGGATGTGTGAATAAATTGCATAACTCAGCTGAGTTTTTGTCAACTTTACATCATGATTAAATTGCCGGGAACTCAGCTGCTCTTTCTTGCCGGATATTGCAGTACACTTTCCGCTGACATTCTGATACGGATTTTGAGCAGCAACTGCAATGCAAGCTATCAGTAGATTCAGGACACCATGTTGCATTTGAGAACGTCTATCTCACTTGATCTTAGTCAAGACCGAATACCACAAGTCTATACGTATGAATCAAATTCGAATATGTTATTACAATTTTTTTAGTGCCAGAAGAATGAATAAAGCTAATACTTTCTTCTTATCCCCGCAACAAAGAAAATTGCGCTCATCAAAACTCATTACTCTCTGCCTTGTCACACAAGTCATTAACTTGTGGGGGGCTTCCCTCAAATATCCTCTCCCTTGCCTTAGTTGCCTGAAACATCAAAAGACCAACATCAAAATCCTTTCAGCAACGTAAATCGTTGTGTCTATATATGGCTACTACCATTAGTTTTGGATAGGTGTTCTGTTTAAGTGCCAAGACAAACTAAGGAAATACCAAAGCCGTGGAGAGTTTGAAGAAAAAGAACACATCTTGGGACAGTTTAAGAAAATTAGACTTGTAGTCATAAGATTTGAAATGTTCTTCATCTCCCTCCCAAATTCTTGCCAACCAAACAGAAAATAGTCGTTTGACTAAAAAAAAAAAAAAAAACAGAAAATAGTGGAATAGAAGATCAACATTATCAAGAAAGTTAGGGTCGATGAATATACCTGCTTTTCCCAATTTGTACTAATTGTTACAAAAGAGAGCATCACGGTTTGCACAAAAGCACCAACTTGTATTCCAATCCAAAGGCCCCTTCCTCTCAGCTGTATCCAGAAAGCCAATGTGGCTGCAACTGGAATCCCACAAAGATAACAAGCTCCGAGGTTTATGTAAGCCCCTATATGCTGCCACCCGGTTCCTCTAGCAATACCTGTTTAACCATTCACAAAACGCATAACATTAGACTAAAATGAAGGAACTCAATTGTTTATTGGTAGTAGGAGAAGATAAAGAAAAAAACCTGAAAGGACCCCTTGCAAACTGTCTAGGGCAGCGGCCAGGCAAACTAGAGGAGCCATGGTTGTGACGTAATCGATGACTTCTTTCTCATTGCTAAAAGTGTAACCAAATACATTCCGGCAGGCAAAAAGGGTCGTGGTTATTATACTTATCTCTGCGACTGCAAGAAACATGACAGAAAAAGTAGCTATTCGAGCACCTTGTGGGTTACCAGCTCCTAGTTCATTTGAAACTCTAGTACTGCACAATAGGCGAAGAAAGAAAAAGATAAGTTGATGGTATAAATGTAATCTGATGGTATAAATATGCTTGAGCATACCTTGCTGCAGCAGCAAACCCATAAGGTATTGCATAGAGTGTCGAAATCGTCTGCAGACTGACCACAATCAGTTAGAATAATCACTTTTCTTCTACATGGTGATCAAATTGACAAATTGATTTTTATTACACAGAATATATACCATACAGACAGAACTGAAGTTTCAAAAGCCGGATTTGATAAAAGTCCAGACAGCAAGATAAGCAGCTCATATGACCACCACTGAAGGCTACAACCATCAATAAAAATCAATCAAATAAAGAAATGATGTTTGAAATAAAATATTGTAAGAATCAAGCACAGCGAATTGTCTTCCTGAGACTAAAATGCAAAAAATAAACCGGGTACCATATCATTATTGCAGAAGGGATGGCAAAGCGAAAGAACTCTCCGATTCCATGGAATACCTCCATAGAAATTGGAGCTCGGGTTTTAGAACAGGTAGCAGAAAACTTCATGTACAATCCAAGTAGAATCGCATTCACCCAATAAGAAATACTGATTGCTAATGCTCCTCCAAGGTTGTTGAGTCCAGACTTGAATACTAGAAGCCAACACAGAGGAATATGGAACAGAAGGGTCGCACAGGAGCTTATGAGCATAGGAATTATTAAACTTTGTGTCTGAAAGTATCTGATGAGTGGCTGAATAGTGGCATAAGCGAAAAGCGCGGGAATAAGCCAGATTGTGAACTTGCCGGCTTCACGGGAAATTACAGGGTCTTGACCCATGAAAATCAGTAACTTCTCCATATAAATCCATATCAAAGATAAAGGAAGACAGACTAAGTTGAGAGAAAATATAGCAGTGTAAGTGTGAAGTCCAAGTTTCTGATATTGTTCTGCTCCATATGCTTGACCACACAGAGTTTCCAATGCACTAGCCATTCCCAACTGTTCAAACAGCAAGTTACAAAATCCACTTAGTTGTAACTTGTAAGAAAGAGATGCATACAAAAACCAGTACATGATCTACCCTTCAGCAATGCATGGCTAATGGTTTCAATCTTGCATTATCACACTAAAACCGTCATTATTCGATGTTAATACTACATCTACGCTGAAATTCGTACTTAATCATCATCAAAATTTGTTTCTTATAAGATTATGAAGAAGTGGTGGTTTCATGATATACATCGTAGCATCCTTCCATCTGCAGTCTTTTTGCAAACCCACAGTGCACAGAGATTTAATTTCTACATGGTTTGTGGACAATTTTTGCGCAGGAAGCACTTTTTAGTGAACAAATAGTTTATGAGAAGACAAATTAATCTGAATGTGCAACTGTTGTCATGCAGTGAACCTTAGCAAAGATGCCCCAATAGCAGCAGCAGCAGCAGAGTCCAATTAAACTCGCATACTTATTATGATCCATGATCAGCCGGTTGGTGGCAAAATCCTGATGAACCTCTTATAATTAATGAAATATAACCTTAACCTTTGGCCAGAACAAAAGGACAAATTTTTGTGCTTTGTCTCGACTCTCTTGTCATAGATAGATACCTAGTGCAGTGGAACTGTGTCATTTGTTAAGGATACTGCAGGACTATCTACTAATCATGAACATAATGTATCAGATTAATACCTAGATACTTAGCTTAGTTGTTAAGTTTTGGTTTGTTAGAGTTTGTTGTATTAGAATGCTTAGTCAGCATTACTGAGTATTTATGTATAACATACAACTTGTACTGTGAGTGAAAGAAATGAGATTCATTCTTCAACAACCTCAGTCTCTCTCTAGATTCTCTCTCTGTCTAAACTCTCTCTAGAATTTTGTTTTCTTCACAGATCCTTGATTTCTAACATGGTATCAGAGCCATGAGTGCGTGAAGCACCAGCAAAACGACGCTCAAGAGACTGCCAAAGAGATCGCGAATCCGCCATCCCAATCGTCAACGGAAGAAGATCCTCAGCAAGGGTAGAGTTGATCCAAATCGTCAGAATCTGATCACGTTCACACCAAAGTTCATGAGCAGGATCTGTATTCGAACTGCTAATGCTGTGTTTAAACTACATGATGTTCTTTTAGTTCCTCAAGCATCTCATAACTTGCTCTCCGTATATCGATTTGTTCATGATAATTGGTGTTCTCTGACATTTGATCCATTTGGATTCTATGTCAAGGACCTACGCACTGGGAGGACGCTTTTCCAGGGCCCCAGTGAAGGAGGTCTCTATCCTTTCTATTGGAATGCATCTAATGGCATCTCTGGGATTGCTGTTTCTCCTCATGCTCTTATGATTGCTCAAGCTGATATCAATATCTGGCACAGAAGGCTTGGACATCCTTCTAGTGTTGTTTTAAATAAGATTGTTAATAAAAGTCACCTGCCTGTTGCTGGTTCAGTACATAAACATTCTTTTTGTTCTGATTGTCAATTTGGGAAAGCTTCTAGGCTTCCATTTTCTGTTGTACCTTGTACATCCACTAGGCCGTTTCATATCATTCATGCTGATGTATGGGGTCCTTCTCCCACTCTTTCATGTACTGGCTATAAATATTATCTTGTTTTGGTTGATGATTTCACCAAATATAGTTGGTTCTATCATTTGCACTTCAAGTCTGATGTTTGTTCTGTTCTTAAAACTTTTGTTTTGAAAGTTCAGAATTGGTTTGACAGTACGATTCAGTGCTTGTGTTCTGATTCAGGGGGTGAGTTTCTCAATTCTGTTTTACAAGGATTTCTTAATACTCAGGGTATTATCCACCAGTTGAGTTGTCCTCACACTCCCCAGCAGAATGGTTGTGCCGAAAGGAAACACAGGCATATTGTTGAGATGGGTCGGACTTTGTTATCTCACAATGGTTTGCCATCCAGGTTTTGGGTAGAAGCTTTTCAAACTGCTGTGTATCTCATCAATCGTCTACCTTCTTAGTCTTCATCATGTCCCTGGGAGTTATTGTTCAAGGCTGCACCTAAGTATCACACCTTGAAGACCTTTGGTTGTGCTTGTTACCCTTGGTTGCAACCTTATAGTTCTCACAAACTGGACACAAAGAGCAAACTCTGTGTATTTTTGGGCTACAGTTTGAATCACAGTGGTTACCGATGCCTCAATCCAGTTACCAACAAGCTGTACATTTCCCGACATGTTGTCTTTGATGAATCTTCCTTCCCTTTTAAGCACCTCCCTGCTTCTCCTACTACTTCTTCTTTATCCTCTCCTCCACCATCCGCTCCTTCTTTTTCCTTTACTATACCAGTTCCTCCTTCCACACCTTTACCCGTTCCTACTTCTTCTTCTCCAGCACCTACAGCACCTGTATTCATTGCTCTTTCTCCAGAATCTGCATCCATTGCTCAACCTCCTGCACCTTCTATTCCAGTTAATACTCACACCATGGTTACAATGGCTAATGCCGGCATCCACAAGCCTAAAGTGTTCACTGCAACTAAACATCCTCTTCCTCCCACGGTTGATTCCCTTACTGTTATTCCTCCTACTCCAACCACCTACTTACAAGCTTCTAAGAATGCAAACTGGTTGGCAGCAATGCAGGCTGAGTATCAAGCTCTCCAGTCCACTGGTACTTGGGTTCTCGTTCCTCCTGATCCTCAATATAATTTGGTAGGCTGCAAATGGGTGTTCAAACTCAAACATAAAGCTGATGGTTCTATAGAGCGCTACAAAGCTCGGCTTGTGGCCAAGGGATTTCATCAACAAGAAGGCCTTGATTTCTCTGAGACTTTTAGTCCTGTAGCTAAACCTACTACAATTCGTCTTCTCCTCTCTATTGCAATTACCTATGATTGGTTTATTCACCAGTTGGATGTGAGGAATGCCTTCCTTCATGGTTCCCTCAAAGAGGCTGTGTACATGGTGCAACCACCTGGTTTTATTGATCCAGCCAATCCGCATCACGTTTGTAAACTGCAAAGATCACTCTATGGTCTCAAACAGGCACCCCGAGCCTGGTATGAAGCATTCTATGGTGCTATTCTCTCATTGGGATTTATTTCTTCCTCATCTGATACTAGTCTTTTTATCAAGAAAGACTCTACTATTACCTTTATACTGGTTTATGTGGATGATATTATCATCACTGGGAGTTCGCCTACTGTCTGCCACTCCATCATTTCGAAGTTGCAATCTTTGTTTCCTGTCAAAGATTTGGGTGATATTCATTATTTCCTTGGCATTGAGGTTCACCGATCCTCTACTGGTCTTTTTCTTCATCAATCCAAATATGCTTTGGACTTGCTTAAGAAGACCGATATGCTTGGTGTCAAACCTTGTTCTACTCCAGTGAGTTCCGACAAGTTGGATCATTCTGGCACCATTCTTTCCGATCCTGCTTTTTATCGATCAACTGTTGGTGCTCTTCAGTACTTGACATGGACTCGCCCTGATTTGGCTTTTGCAGTGAATCAAGTGTGCCAACACATGCATGCTCCTCGTACCATTCATCTCCAGGCTGTCAAGCGGATCTTACGCTATCTCAAGGGTACTGTTGACTTCGGTTTATGGTTTAAACCTGGCACTCAGTTTCTCACAGCTTGGTCTGATGCTGATTGGGCAGGTTGTCCCGTTGACCGCCGCTCTACTAGTGGCTATTGTGTTTTCTTGGGTCCAAATCTGATCTTTTGGAGTGCCAAGAAGCAAACCACTGTGGCACGTTCGTCTACTGAAGCAGAATATCGATCTTTAGCTCATACTGCTGCTGAGATCACTTGGGTGTGTAAAATTTTGCAGGACTTCTCTTTTCCTCTTCTTCGCCCTCCTGTGCTTTTTTGTGATAATCAAAGTGCTATTGCATTAGCTAAGAACCCTGTTTTTCATGCTCGAACAAAGCATGTCGAGATTGATTACCATTACATCCGCGAAAAAGTTCTTCAAGGGCATATCAGCATTCATCATGTTCCTACTCTCCTTCAGATTGCTGATATTTTTACTAAGTCTTTATCTGCATCTCGGTTTGCTACTCTCAGTCACAAGCTTTCAGTTTGTTCTCCTCCCTTCAGCTTGAGGGGGTGTGTTAAGGATACTGCAGGACTATCTACTAATCATGAACATAATGTATCAGATTAATACCTAGATACTTAGCTTAGTTGTTAAGTTTTGGTTTGTTAGAGTTTGTTGTATTAGAATGCTTAGTCAGCATTACTGAGTATTTATGTATAACATACAACTTGTACTGTGAGTGAAAGAAATGAGATTCATTCTTCAACAACCTCAGTCTCTCTCTAGATTCTCTCTCTGTCTAAACTCTCTCTAGAATTTTGTTTTCTTCACAGATCCTTGATTTTTAACATCATTCATGGTTCCGGTGCATATTTGTTTACCACCTTCAAGCGGTGGTAATACTTACCATCTTATTTATTACTATTGAATGAGTTTAAATTTTCAGATTTGTATTTATCCGCTACACAGATCTTAAAATTTAAATCCAATAATGATAAATGAATGAGTGGCGAATATCACCGTCACTTAAAGGAGTTTGAGCAAAAATATTCCCCATATCATATAGTTCAATAAAGCCGACCTCCTATAGAATCCAAAGGCAGTCCTTGGTGCCGTGGTGTCGTATTCATCAGAGAATATCAGAAGAAGTGATTAAAAATAGGGTAGTGTTATTCACACATTCATTTTTACCTTTCACACATTCTTGTTAATTTTTATCTGTTGATGTTCTTTATTTCATTTGATATGACGGCCAAAAATTGAGATAGCTATGTGAAAAGTAAAAATGAGTGTGTGGATAGCACCAACATAAATATATAGCAAAATTGCAACCCAATACAAAAAAATTAAAACTGTCCAGATGCGATGCAACTGGGTGTAGATTAGAGCAAATATTCAAATACAATCATACAGGAAGTATATTATAATCTTTAGTGCTGGTTTGGTTTATGTTTAACTTTTTCAATCACGAGAAAAGTTTTGCAGACGTGTGTTAGACCAGTTGAGATTAAAGTCTTTTGCTGGATTCGAGTCTCTTTCCCAACAAAGTATAGTAGTTTAGAATCTTGCATTTTGAAAAACAATGTATACTTGATTCATGAAAGAAAAAAGATAGAATGTTTTATTGGCATTTCTACTAACACATAGCAAACAAAAACAGTTGGACATTAATTCCAAAAGATACAAATGAAGAAAGAAAGACGTACGAAAAGACTGAAGCCGGTGACGTTGGAGAGGGAGATGGCGATGGCGGAGCTTGAGAGAGCGAGCTCGCCCAGGTGGCCGACCATCATCATCGAAATGACCAGCAACAAGCTCTGAGATAGAATCACGGCAACCATGGGTCCCGCTATGCATCCCAACCTCTTCACTTCTTCGAAGAAAGAAGTCCATGTCAGAATACTTGTAGTACTATTTCTTCTCTGTTGCTGCTCTTCTTCTCTGCGTTTTGGTAATAGCAAGCTCTCTTCCATGGTGACGTCTGCTGTGGAATCGTGGAGCTCAATCAATGAGTAGTCGCCTAACGACGTTGAAGGTTTGGATTTGGAATATATATGGGGATTGCGGAGGGAGAGGAGGAGAAATTTTATACCTTTTCAAGGACAGAGGCCAGAAGTTTTCATTTTCTATGACTGCGTGGTGGTAGCATACGACCAATATGACAGCAAGAACAACAGACCAATTTGTACAATTTATTTGCTAATCTACAAAAACAGGCAAGATTTAAATTTAAAATAAAAAAACCTGACACTACTATAAGAAAATAAAATGTTTTATTATCGATCTCTTCGCTAGACTAAAGCTTAGTCTTGCTGCCAACAATCCCTCTTAATAGTGATCTCGTAGTATGCACTCTCTCTTAAATGGGGTAGCCTCCTCTCCTCCTAAACTTTTGCAAATCAATAAAAATGATTTATTAGGAGTGTAGTTGAATTAGAATTAAAGGGAAAGACTAACCAATGGGTATAATATTAAAAAAAAAAATTCTACTTGTCATTTCTCAAAAAAATAATAGCCCAGCACCCATTTCTCAAAAATAATCCCCAGGACAAAAACACTATTTCTGGTTAAAACTTTAAAAAGATGTGTGTTGTTTGACTGTGATTAGAGATGAGCTGAAATGCTTTTAGTCTCATTAAAAATAGTCTTACCCCGAATAATACCTCATGCTTCAACCAAAAAAAAAAAAAAAACTTGACAAGTGACAGCAATGAGACTTTTGGAATTTCTGCTGTATCATATTATCCAACCCTCATATTCTACTATATCATATTGTCTGCCCTCCCACTTCCGATGCCCTCCCGTGCCCTCCTGTTTGTGTAGTCACGGTTAAGTCACGTCAACATTTTATATTACTATTCATTTTTATCTTATTATCTCTATAAAAAAAATAATATAAAATGTTGATGTGGCTTAACCGTGACCATACAAAACAGGAGGGCACGGGGGGCATCAGAAGTGGGAGGGTAGACAATCCTTGTCCTTCTGGCAGGGCCTCTGATTGCAGTACAGCTTACAAGTCACATTAGTCATGTTTGTTGGCCATCTTGGAGAGTTGGCACTCTCCAGAGCTTCCATGGCCTCTTCATTTGCTTCTGTCACTGGTTTCAGTGTATTGGTAAGTTGGGGCTTCTCTTCAACACCAACATGAAATGAGGATGATGTTGTGATTGGCTCATATTTTGAGCTGGCAACAATGAAGTGACTTGTGTTTGCTTTCGGTGGAAATATCACATGGTGTGGGCTGCATGAAAGTTGCAGACAAGTGCTGCAAAGTAAAAGCAAAAATGGACAACAAGCCAAATGTCTTTCGGCTAGTAAACTAAACAAAGAAAAGTTTGGTGGTCATCATTAAGAGTAAAGACACAATGATGATGCTTGTAAGAAAATAGAAAAAGGTGGTTGCTTTTACCTGAATGATTATGAAGAAATGTGATGATGGCTTGTCCTTTATTTAAAGCAAGGAAATGCTTGCATTATGTGTGCTTGCCGAGGGAGAAGGCTTGCATCAGGGAAGCATCCAAGGAGATGGTGAGAGCATTTGGCTCTCACATGGGAAATGTTGAACATGGGTTGAGAGAAAATCAAGAGAGCTAGAGTGAAAAGTATTCTAGTGAAAGAACTCTTAGGGTAGAGTGAGGCTCTTGAGAAAATTCTATGAGTGGTTGTGCAAGAGATTCGAGATTGAGTTATGTTGATTTAACTCATGTGTACTTGTACTGTTATTCATAGTGAAGAGCAATATCTCTCCGGGGACGTAGGCATGTTTTTGCCAAACCTCATAAATTTCTCGGTGTCTTTATTTCTTGTATTTTATTCTGTTCAACTGAGTGTGATTTGGTGAGGTTGTAATCTGAATCTCGTTTCTGCACTAACGAACGGGCCAAGGCACAACAATTGGTATCAGAGCATCGTTAGGCACTTGGTTCATTGGAGGTCCAGATTTGTTGTTCACCATGGAATTTTCAATTGAGCAGTTTAATGGGAGAGGCGGTTTTACTCTTGGTAAAGGAAAGTAATGGAAGCCTGAAGAAATTGAAGCCGTGTTCAGGGATGTTTAGATTAACTGCGAAAGTTGATGTTGAGGAAAAAGACAAAGGCCTCTTTCTTCTTACCTCACTTTCAGATTCGTACGAGACCCTTGTGAAACTTTATTGCATGGAAAGATACAGTAAGTTTGGAGCAGGTGCAAGCTTCTTTAGTGTGGAATGATACACAAAGGAGACCATGGATGATGGTGGGCACGAGACTGCTTAAGCTATTCAAGGTTGGAATCGTGGAAGAAAATTAGAAAGAGCATCTGAGAGAGACAACAGGTTCAGATCCGGTTCCAGAGGCAAGGGTCCATAGTGCTATGGTGCAAGGCCGGGTTGTAGCAAGTTTGTGGCATAAGGCTTCGAGTATGTCCTCTAAGTACTTGAAGCAACACTTCTCCTGATGATGTTTGGTCTCAAGTGTTGCAGGGGTTTTGCAGCATGTGGAGCTATGGGATTCATAGGTGATGAAATGGTCCTGAGGTAGGAGGAAGTGTGGGAATTTTGTCTGTCTCGATGGGTTGTTGCTAAAAACGGGCGCGCTGACGAGTTTCCAGGTTGTAGACAATGAAGAGGAGGAAAACCTATTGGAGGAGACGAGGGTGTGTTGAGATCCTGTCTGAAGCTAAATGGTGATTTTTAGCTTGCAGCAGCTGCACATGTATTGGCAGTGACTGAATCGGAACAGGACCAACGAGGTTGATTCAGAGTGTGTATGCTGGTACGTAAGGCCAATGAGCTTTGGTGATGGGTGCAAGGATTTTTGCATGGTGTATTCGCCAAGGTGGAGATTGTTATGATTGGCTCATATTTTGAGCTGGCAACAATGAAGTGACCTGTGTTTGCTTTCGGTGGAAATATCACATGGTGTGGGCTGCATGAAAGTTGCAGACAAGTACTGCAAAGTAAAAGCAAAAGTGGACAACAAGCCAAATTTCTTTTGGCTAGTAAACTAAACAAAGAAAAGTTTGGTGGACATCATCATGAGTAAAGACACAATGATGATACTTGTAAGAAAATAGAAAAAGGTGGTTGCTTTTACTTGAATGATTATGAAGAAATGTGATGATGACTTGTCCTTTATTTAATGCAAGGAAATGCTTGCATTATGTGTGCTTGCCAAGGGAGAAGGCTTGTATTAGGGAAGCATCCAAGGAGATGGTGAGAGCATTTGGCTCTACCATAGGAAAGGTTGAACATGGGTTGAGAGAAAATCAAGAAAGCTAGAGTGAAAAGTATTCTAGTGAAAGAATTCTTGGGGTAGAATGAGGCTCTTGGGAAAATTCTATGAGTGGGTGTGCAAGGGATTCGGGATTGAGTTATGTTAATTTAACTCATGTGTACTTGTACTGTTATTCATAGTGAAGAGCAATATCTCTCTGGGGACGTAGGCATGTTTTTGCCGAACCTCGTAAATTTCGCGGTGTCTTTATTTCTTGTATTTTATTCTGTTCAACTTAGTGTGATTTGGTGAGGTTGTATCTGAATCTCGTTTCCGCACTAACAAACGGGCCAAGGCACAACAGATGATAGGATGACAATTTTTAAAAACTATAGCGCTTTGTCGTGCATTTTAACTTTTTTATATTGCCGGTATGATTGGCTTGTGATACAACGACCTTCTATTCCCATTTTATGTAACTCGTCAACCGGTTGATTAAGGTGATAATAAAATATGTATTATTCAAGTTTAACTTGATCCAACTCTTATTGCACCTAACTATATTAGACTGCAGACATGGACATCTTTCAAAACTTTGTTTCTTTAAGGTCCTGTTATAAAAAAAAAGACAAGATTATAAGAAACTAAAAATGTTCTATTAGGGGTGTAGTTAAATTAGAATTAAAAAAATATTTTTAAGTGACAAATTTCATAAGATTATGCAAACTTCTACAAAGATCAAATAGATAAGAGTACTGCTATGGTCACGCACAAATTTATTTCACCACCTTTTTTGTATGAAATTGTAGTGACACATTTCAATTTTTTTAGCAGCAACTGCAATACAAGCTATTAGGAGATTGAGGACCCAAGTCTATATATGTACGAATCATATTCGAACATGTTATTACAAATTTTTTCTGTGCCAAAAGAATGGATAAAGCTCATACTTTCTCCTTATTCCCGCGATAGAGAGAACCGTGCTCTCAAAACTCATTACTCTCTGCCTTGTCACACAAGCCATTAACTTGTGGGGGGGTTCCCTCAAATATCCTCTTCCTTGCCTTACTTGCCTGAAACATCAAAAGACCAACATCAAAATCCTCTCAGAAACATAAAACGTTGCGTCTATGGATTGCTACTACCATTAGTTTTGGATAGGTGTTCTGTTTAAGTGCCAAGATAAACCAAGGAAATACAAAAACAGTGGGGAGTTTGAAGAAAAAGAACACATCTTGGGACGGTTTAAGAAAATTTAGAATGGAAGTCATAAGATTCGAAATGTTCTTCGTCTTCCCTCCCAAATTCTTGCCAACCAAACAGAAAATAGTGGAATAGACTGTCAACATTATCAAGAAAGTTAGGGTTGATGAATATACCTGCTTTTCCCAATTTGTACCAATTGTTATTGAAGAGAGCAGAATGATTTGCACAAAAGAACCAACTTGTATTCCAATCCAAAGTCCCCTTCCTTTCAGCTGTACCCAGAAAGCCAGTGTGGCTGCAACTGGAATCCCACAAAGATAATACGCTCCGAGGTTTATGCAAGCCCCTACATGCTGCCACCCAGTTCCTCTAGCAATACCTGATTTAACCATTCACAAAACACATAACATTAGACTGAAACATGAAAGAACTCAATCGTTCATAGCTAATAGAGAAGATAATGAAATTGACCTGAAAGGACCCCATGCAAACTGTCTAGGGTAACGGCCAGGCAAACTAGAGGAGCCATGGTTGTGACATAATCGATGACTTCTTTCTCATTGCTAAAAGTGTAACCAAATACATTTCGGCAGGCAAAGAGCGTGGTGGTGGTTATAGTTGTCTCTGTGACTGCAAGGAACATCGCAGCAAAAGTAGCTATTCGAGCACCTTGTGGGTTACCAGCTCCTAGTTCATTTGAAACTCTAGTACTGCACAATAAGCAAAGAAAGAAAAAGATAAGCTGATGGTGTAAATGTAATCTGATGGTATAAATGTGCTTGAGCATACCTTGCTGCAGCAGCAAACCCAAAAGGTATTGCATAGAGTGTAGAAATCGTCTGCAGACTGTCCCAAACAATCAGTTATAAAATCACTTTTTTTCTCTCTACATGGTGATCAAATTGACACACTGATTTTTATTATACAGAATATATACCATACAGACAGAACTGAAGTTTCAAGAGCCGGATTTGGCAAAAGTCCAGACAGCAAGATAAGCAGCTCAAATGACCACCACTCGAGGCTACAACCATCAATGAAAATCAATCAAATAAAAAAAAGATTTTTGAAATAAAATATTGTAAGAATCAAGCATAGCGAAGCGTCTTCATGAGACTAGAATCCAAAAGAAACTGGGTACCATATCATTATTGCTGAAGGGATGGCAAAGCGAAAGAACTCTCTGATTCCATGGAATACCTCCATAGAAATTGGAACTCGGGTTTTTGAACAGGCAGCAGAAAACTTCATGTACAATGCAAGTAGGATCACATTCACCCAATATGAAATACTGATTGCTAATGCTCCTCCAAGGTTGTTCAGTCCAGACTTGAATACTAGAATCCAACACAGAGGAATATGGAACACAAGGGTCACACACGAGCTTATGAGCATAGGAGTTATTAAACTTTGTGTCTGAAAGTATCTAATGAGTGGCTGAAGAGTAGCATAAGCGAAAAGCGCGGGAATAAGCCAGATTGTGAACTTGCCGGCTTCATGAGAAATTACAGGGTCTTGACCCATGAAAATCAGTAACTTCTCCATATAAATCCATATCAAAGATAAAGGAAGACAGACTAAGTTGAGAGAAAATATAGCAGTGTAAGTTTGAAGTCCAAGTTTCTGATATTGTTCTGCTCCATATGCTTGGCCACACAGAGTTTCCAATGCACTAGCCATTCCCAACTGTTTAAACAGCAAGTTACAAAATCCACTTAGTTTTTGGACAGAAATCTATATAGGAACTCGTCATTATTTCGTTATTAACACTACATCTACCCCGAAATTCGTACTTAATCATCATCAATTTGTTTCTTAATCACTAAGTACGTAACTTCATGATATAAATCATAGCATCCTCACATCTGTAGTCTTTTTACAAACCCACAGTGCACACAGATTTAATTTCTACATGGTTTGTGGATAATGTTTGCACAGGAAGCATTTACAGTGGACAAAATAGTTATGAGAAGACAGATTAATCTGAATGTGCCACTGTTGTCATTTAGCAAAGATGCCCCAGCAGGTAACAGCAGCAGAGTCCAATTAAACTCGCATACTTTACTTAATATAATCAGTGATTAGCTGACCCCAGATTGGTGTCGTATTCGTACTCGTCAGAAAGTATCTTGCTCTGATTAAATATAGACATTTTAGCAAAAATGGTTGATGCGATTGACATAATTTTAAGTCCTTATATTTGAAATCGATAGTAGTGGTCCGTGAGTTTGTCCATCATCAATAATTTTAGTTATTCTAAAGAAAAAAAAAACTCAGTTAAATAAGGACCAAAATGACAAAAATACTATTAATTTAATTAACAATAGGCAAAAATGATTTGACAAATAATGAGTGTATTTTTATCATTTTATCCTTATTTAATATAGTTTTTCTTCACAAAATGATTGATGGTGGACAAATTGAGAGACTAATTCTATCGATTTTAAAGCTCAATGATCAAAATAAAATGTTATGTCAATCTCAGATACCATTTTGGCTGAAAAAAAACCTTAAATATATAGCAAAATTGCAACCAAATACAAAAAATTAAAACTGCCAATGCAACTGGGTATGAATTAGAGCACATATTCAAGTACAATCATACGAGAAGTAAATATAATCTACTATGCTGGTTTGGTTTGTGCTTAATTTTGTCCGTTACGAGCGTGTGTTTGATTAAGATCTTTTGCACCCATCTCTTCCTCACACAAATTATAGTAGTTTAGAATCTCGCATTTTGAAAAACAATGTATTCTTGATTCAAAAGAGAAAAAACGATTGGATGCTTCATTGCCATTTGTACAGACACATAGCAAACAAGACAGTTGAACAGTCCTTCCAAAAGATACGAATGAAGAAAGAAAGACTTACGAAAAGACTGAAGCCGGTGACGTTGGAGAGGGAGATGGCGATGGAGGAGCTTGAGAGAGCGAGCTCGCCCAGGTGGCCGACCATCATCATCGAAATGACCAGCAACAAGCTCTGAGATAGAATCACGGCAACCATTGGTCCCGCTATGCATCCCAACCTCTTCACTTCTTCGAAGAAAGAAGTCCATGTCAGAATACTTGTAGTGCTATTTCTTCTCTGTTGCTGCTCATCTTCTCTGCGTTTTGGTAATAGCAAGCTCTCTTCCATGGCGACGTCTGCTGTGGAAGCGTTGAGCTCAATCAATGAGTAGTCGCCTAATACGTTGGAGGTTTGGATTTGGAATATATATGTGTGTGTGTGTGTGCATGCGGATTGCGGAGGGAGAGGAGGAGAAATTTTATACCTTTTTCAAGAACAGAGGTCAAAAGTTTCATTTTTCTCTTGACTCCGAGTAGAATGGCAGTATACGACTAATATGACAGCAAGGAAAAAGATCAATATGAACAATCTTTACTTGTCAACCTTAAAGAAAGGAAAGAACATAAGAAACTAAAAATTTATTAGGGCTAACAAAGGTTGGTTGAGTTGGTAAAAAAAAAAAAAAGCGCTAATACCTCATATGTAGGTCTTCAAAGAGGCTTGCGGCCTGGCGCTGGAATGGGGTAACCTCTCCTCCCTGTAAACCTTCTTTTTTATTGGGAGCAACCTCTCCATAAATGGGGGTAAGGCTAGCCGACATTCACCTCTCCCAGACCCTGCGTAAAACGGAAGCCTTGTGCACTGGGTACGACCTTTTATGGAAAAATAAATTTATTCAAAAATAAAAATCTGGACTACAAATGTTTCCTGTACAATAAAAAAGAAAAACTTTTTTTTAGCAATATTGGGTAAACAAGTATCATGAATGGAGTGTCCATAGTTAGAAATGACATCAGCAAGAAAGTTAACATTTCAGAAGACATGAGCCCAAGGTATAGAAGAAAATGATCGTGCAAGTAATTTGATGTCCTCAATAATAGTCTTCACACACTATGACGTTTCTGCATTTGTTTAAAATGGAATCAATAATGGGTTGAGTCATCTTAGCACAGACACCCTTAAAATATTTGACTTTTGCAAATTTCACATCACGTAAGGTAAGTGCTTTAGTAATAGATGTGGTATTCTCTCAAGATTGTGCATCCTAGCAACAATAGAATGCCCGTTATGATCTTTAATGACAAAATATGCAACCACAATAAAATATTATCGATGGGTCTATGGGTGAGTTGAGTTAACAAGTGAAAGAACAAAAACATAGATGAATCTGTAGTTGAAAATTTTGAAAGGACGTGTACAATTTGACCGTGGCTAGAAATGAGTCGAAATGTCTTTAGCCCATTGGAAATTGACCCTACCATTCAAAGTTGTGGAATAATTCATGCTTCCAACCAAAAAAATAAAAAATAAATAAATAAATAAATAAATCCTTGACGAGTGACAGACAGTGAGACTTTTGGAAGTTCTCCTCTATCATGTTACCCAGCCCTCATATATTTTGTCTTTTGTTATTTTCTATTCTCACTAATTTTTTATACATTTTGGATGGATTCTCTCTCTGTGTGGTTAGCAGCAATAATAATAAAAAAAAACAATCAGATTCAAGTGGCAAAGGTGCTAATTTTGTGAAAAATGTAGAAGTGAGCTCAAGCGTTGAGACTCCCTTAATTCCAGACCATCAAGAATTTGATGGTGGAGCAATACCATCTCAAAGAGGAATTTGTATAGGTGAGGATGTTATTGAAGAAGCAAAATTGCAGCTATGGCTGGCGGGGCCTTTGCTTGCAGTGAGCTTGTTGCAGTACAGCTTACAGGTCACATCAGTCACGTTTGTTGGCACTCTCCAGTGTTTCCATGGCCTCTTCATTTGCTTCTGTCACTGTTTTCAGTCTATTGGTAAGTTGCGCTTCTATTCAACACCCATATGAACAAAAAAAAAAAATCATGTTGTACACGTTAATTTTCTGTATAGAGGAAAGAAGTAATCGTTGTATTGGATGCATGAATTTTCATCATTTATTGTGGATAAGTTCAATGTTTTAAAAGGCAAAAGTGAAATCACGGCGTTTTATGAATAATCTCGTTTAGGCGATAAGCTTGAGGTGTGAGGCTAGAGTACCCAAAATTATTATAATAGTTAATACTAGCTAGTAATGCCCGCGCGTTGCTGCGGGATTACAAATTGATCTTATAGCAGTGTATAAATTTGAGTTAGTATCAGCGTAACATTAATTAATCTAAACAAAATTACCATAGTGAAGGAAAAAATATTATTTGCTATAGAAAAATTACAGTTTTGATACCTTACAAAGGTAATTTGTTTTAAAAGATTGAAAGCCAGCGGTTTTCAATCTTGAAATTCCACAGCATCCTTTGAAAAATAGCAACCATCATCGGATAGAACTATTGTACCACCTACAGGAAAGAAAAAACAACGAGTACCTGAGATATTCTTATACACAAAAAGAAAACACTTGACACTGAATGAACAAAATATTCAAACATGGAAAGCACATCATGAGGGATAATCTATCATTTTTGGCCAAGTGAGGAATGATATGTTGAGTACCGAGAGAGAGAAAAAAGTAGTTCTACATTATTTTATGATACATGTTGGGTTAGTCTTGTATTTCACTTTATTTATAAAATCAACTACTGATATGGTTACAACCCTGACAACATCACCCCTAGTATTGGATGTCCATCTAATTTAACTTAAATTTCTTCTTCAATCTTGGATATACATAATGTTTCAATTTATGTTTTACCATACAAAAAAATTGTGAGTCTAAATGGGTTTTATAAATAGATGATAAAACTGCAACTCAGTAGAATCTAAGACAATGAAAATTGAATATTATTTACCATAAATTGACATGCAAATTTAAATGCAAGAATGCAAATGAAGAGATTCACTTCATCATGTTCAGCAAGGAAATAAATAGCAACGAAAATAGTATGATTTGGTGACCCTTACCTTTAACTTATTCCGACAATTTTCAATGGGCAAAACTAATGGTTTATTAATTAAAATCATTACATAATGATTGCTCACCTTTTGTCAACCAGTATACAGTGCAGACTTGTAATTTTATCAGTCGTTCCTGAAATTCTCGGTCTCCACATTCTACACACGTGGACTTTAATCTTTGTTGCCTTTTTATACGGTTGTACCTGATTGATAGGTGTTGGAATTGCGTCTTCCATTCAAGCTACTGAAATTTAACACAAATTTTGTAAATTTGCAAACAGTCATTGCAGTAAGTTTAAAATAAACGCTGGAACAACCTTTCAATCCCAAGCAGTCATTGCATAGAAATCCCCATTAATGAAACCTTTATACACAAACCCTTCAATAAAATTATGTGCAAAATAATATGAAAAATATCCTCTAATGTAGAGGGAATTACATGTATAGAGATTAAAAAAAAACATATTCTCTCTGAACCCATATGTGGCCTTTCCCAACCTTTCAATCCCAAACACCCTGTACTTGTCCAAGCAATCCTTTATAAACTCAGTAAAAAACAAAACATCGATTCCACAAAAAATTAAAAAATTCCTACTTTTAAACAGAAGAATCCTCACCGACAGCTTCAAAGGTGTTTTGTAAACCTCTCAGCATATCTTTCCCAATTGTATTTCTCACCTCCATCCTCTCCTACGTAACCTGAGCAATCCATGTTACCATACAAACAAAACCGAATTTGATACCTGGGTGAAAGCAAAAGCAAGCACTAATACATTCAAGTAAAATAAGGAATTTCAAAACATTATAGCAGAAAATCATCACATACAATTTTTCTTTAGACACTCTTTAAATGCAGAAAAGAAAACTAACTTCTTGTAGAAGTGATGAGAAGGAATGAAAAACCAGAACACCACCTGTTCAAAAATACAAAAATCAAAAATCAAAATGAAAAAAGAAAGAAATCAACTTTCAAAACTCTGCAAAATAGTGAATTTGTGTTATCATCATAGTATCCCCACCATTATCATTTATCACTACCCACCTGCAATTCCTTGCTCTTCGTTTTCAAATCACTCTAATTCTCATCCCAGTTAACGGTTTCAAATCGCCACTATCCCAAATCATAAAATTCCAGTAAGGGTATGCTGAAACACAAAATTCAATTTCATTGTGTATAGACCAACATAGAGATTGAGACAGGCTTTAACTTCTACAATTCTACACATTTTCGAGCCCTAAATTTTCCCGGAAACAAAAGAAAACGAAAGAAGTCGTACCTGGTTCGAAAGAGCGGACGCCAGTTTGGTGGAGCAGCCATGGCAGAGATCTCTAGCGAGAAAGCTAATAAGATGGAGCAAACCATTGAACAAAAAAACCCAGATTTTTAAAATTAAAATCACAAAAATTTCAACAAATATGTCGTAGAACTCACCAGGAAACCCAAGCTTTCGAATTGGCGATTTCCTGAAAATCAAGCTTTTCTAGGTTAAAATTTCTTCCCGAAGGCAACAGATCCAACATTCATTCAAACAAAATTCGAATTGAAAAAAAAAAAGTGAGAGACAAATACCTTCTTGCAGAGGCCAGCGATTCGGAGCTTGAGAGAGAGCTCGAGAAATCTGTGGAAGCAAATGGAAGAGCCCGCTTTTCCATGTTTCTTCCCTTCCACTATGAGCAACACGTGTACAACACTATAGGAGGAAGAAAATCCAACGAAAAGTTGCACGATGAGGACGCGGGGAGCAGCAAGGGAAATCGATATAAAACGGAGGGGCAAAACAGTCCGCCCACTGGTCATCCACAGTACCACCTGATTGGGTTTTAGTATATAAAGATATATAGTTTTGTGTTTGTGTGGGAACGGCCAGGGCTAGGGTTGAAACCAGGAAAAAAAAAAGAAACCTAAATGATTGATGCCATGTAGAATTATAATAATTAAGTGAATTATATTGATAACACAAGGTACAATATTTTATTTACTAGTCTATCACTTAAAGAGTACAAGTAATTCAAAACCCACAGGAATTTACAAGATCGAGCCCAATAGAATTCTAACTGAATTCTCCTACACGAACGTTTTTTTAACAATCAAGCAAGCAAGCCAAGGAATCAAATATTTGACTGTTATTATTATTTCTCTATTCACATCATAAAGCCATGAATTTTATGAAAAAAATTGTCCAAAATGACGTCGTTTTGGATTCGGGCTTTTTAAAAATAAAATTTTGTGCAGCAACTGGGAGGCAAGCTATTAGGAGATTCAGGACACCATATTGCATTCGAGAACGTCTATCTCACTTGATTGTAGTCAAGACCGAATGCCACAAGTTTATATGCATGAATCATATTCGAATCGAATGTGTTAATACAATTTTTTTGGGTGCCAAAAGTACGGATAAACCTAATACTTTCTCCTTATTCCCGCGATAAAGGGAATTGTGCTAATCAAAACTCGTTACTCTCTGCCTTGTCACACAAGCCATTAACTTGTGGGGGGCTTCCCTCAAATATCCTCTCCCTTGCCATACTTGCCTGAAACATCAAAAGACCAACATCAAAATCCTCTCAGAAACATTAGTTTTGGATAGGTGTTCTGTTTAAGTGCTAAGAAAAACCAAGGATAAACCAAAGCTGTGGGGAGTTTGACGAAAAATAAAACATCTTGGGACAGTTTAAGCAAATGGATTAGAATGGTAGTCATAAGATAAGAAATGTTCTTCATCTTCCCTCCCAAATTCTTGCCAACCAAACAGAAAATAGCGGAATCGTTGAAGCAATTGGAGAAGATCAGCATTGTCAAGAAGTTAGGGTTGAGTTATATACCTGCTTTTCCCAATTTGTACAACTTGTTACTAAGGAGAGCATCATGGTTTGCACAAAAGCACCAACTTGTATTCCAATCCAAAGGCCCCTTCCTCTCAGCTGTACCCAGAAAGCCAATGTGGCTGCAACTGGAATCCCACAAAGATAAAACGCTCCGAGGTTTATGTAAGCCCCTATATGCTGCCACCCAGTTCCTCTAGCAATACCTGGTTTAACCATTCACAAAACACATAACACTAGACTGAAACATGAAAGAACTCAATCGTTTATTGCTAATAGGAGAAGACAAAGAAACAAACCTGAAAGGACCCCTTGCAAACTGTCTAGGGTAACAGACAGGCAAACTAGAGGAGCCATGGTTGTGACATAGTCGATGACTTCTTTCTCATTGCTAAAAGTGTAACCAAATACATTCCGGCAGGCAAAGAGGGTCGTGGTTATTATACTTGCCTCTGTGACTGCAAGAAACATCGCAGCAAAAGTAGCAATTCGAGCACCTTGTGGGTTACCAGCTCCTAGTTCATTTGAAACTCTAGTACTGCACAATAAGCAAAGAAAGAAAAAGAAACTGATTTTTTTTCCTATAAATATGTAATCTGATGGTATAATGTGCTTGAGCATACCTTGCTGCGGCACCAAACCCATAAGGTATTCCATAGAGCGTCGAAATCGTCTGCAGACTGTCAACAACAATCAGTTAGAATACGCACTTTTTCCTACATGGTGATCAAACTGGCAAATTTATTTTATTATACAGAATATATACCATACAGACAGAACTGAAGTTTCAAGAGCCGGATTTGGTAAAAGTCCAGACAGCAAGATAAGCAGCTCAAATGACCACCACTCAAGGCTACAACCATCAATAAAAATCAATCAAATAAAGAAATGACGTTTAAAATAAAATATTGTAAGAATCCAGCATAGCGAAACGTCTTCTTGAGACTAGCATGCAAAAAATAAACTGACTACCATATCATTATTGCAGAAGGGATGGCAAAGCGAAAGAACTCTCCGATTCCATGGAAGATCTCCACAGAAATTGGAGCTCGGGTTTTGGAACAGGCAGCAGAAAACTTCATGTATAATGCAAGTAGAATCACATTCACCCAATATGAAATACTGATTGCTAATGCTCCTCCAAGGTTGTTGAGTCCAGACTTGAATACTAGAAGCCAACACAGAGGAATATGGAACAGAAGCGTCGAACACGAGCTTATGAGCATAGGAATTATTAAACTTTGTGTCTGAAAGTATCTAATGAACGGCTGAAGAGTGGCATAAGCGAATAGCGCGGGAATAAGCCAGATTGTGAACTTGCCGGCTTCACGAGAAATTACAGGGTCTTGACCCATGAAAATCAGTAATTTCTCCATATAAATCCATATCAAAGATAATGGAAGGCAGACTAAGTTGAGAGAAAATATAGCAGTGTAAGTTTGAAGTCCAAGTTTCTGATATTGTTCTGCTCCATATGCTTGACCACACAGAGTTTCCAATGCACTAGCCATTCCCAACTGTTCAAACAGCAAGTTACAAAATCCACTTAGTTATAAGAGAGAGATTTATACAAAAACTAGTACATGATCTACCCTTTAGCATTGTTACACTGAAACTCGTCATTATTTCGATATTAACACTGCATCTACGCCGAAATTTGTACTTAATTATCTTCAATTTGTTGCTTATAAGATTATCATTAAGTAGTTTCATGATATACGTCATAGCATCCTCACATCTGTAGTCTTTTTGCAAAAGCTACACAGATTTAATCTTCATGGTTTGTGGACAACGTTTCTACGGGAAACATTTTTAGTGGACACAATAGTTTGAGTAGACAAATTAAACTCTCATACTAAATATAATCCATGATTAGCTGGCCCCATGATTGATGGCAAAGTCTAACCTCTTATATTTAATCAAATAAAACCTGAAACCTTTTGGCCAAAACAAAAGAAAAATCCAAATAAAATACAACCAAAAACGACATAAAGCAGTGACCTAGACGCTAACAAAGTCAATTTTTTTGTGCTGCGTCTCGACATTCTTGTCATAGATTGATACCAGGTGCAGTGGAATTGAGTCATACATGCATCGGGATGCTGTCTACATACCTAATTTTACTTTCCAAACGTTCATTTCAATTTTTAGTTGTTGGATCAAATGAACTGAAGAGGACCAAACAAAAAAATTAAGAAGATGTATGTGAAAAGTAAAAAGAGGTGTGTGGATAACGCGACTCGCTTCCTATAAAATCTAAAAGACTTTGGTGTAGTATTCGTATTCATTAGAGAATATCAGAGGAATCAAGCTTCTCGGTCCGATCCTTTGCTGCATCAACCCTAGCAAATCCGCACATACCTAGCTTGTTCTGAATTCTTGGCTACCAGCTAGTTCTAATAAAAACTGCCCAGATGCAATGCAACTGGTATAGATTAGAGCAAATATTCAAGTACAATCATACAAGAAGTATATATAATCTGGAAATCCTGATTTGGTTCGTGTTTAAGTTATTTAGTTTTGCAGACGTGTGTTATACCAGTTGATTAAGGTCTTTTGCACCCGAATTTGAGTTTCTCCCCCAACAAATTATAGTAGTTTAGAATCTCACATTTTGAAAAACAATGTAATCTTATTCATAAAAGAAAAAAGATACGATGTTTTATTGGCATTTCTTCAAACACGTAGCAAACGAAAACAGTTGGAAATTAAAAGCATATATAATTCCAAAAGATATGAAGGAAGAGAGGGCGCTTACGAAAACACTCAAGCCGGTGACGTTGGAGAGGGAGATGGCGATGGCGGTGCTGGAGAGAGCGAGCTCGCCCAGGTGGCCGACCATCATCATCGATATGAACTGCAACAAGTTCTGAGATAGAATCACGGCAACCATGGGTCCCGCTATGCATCCCAACCTCTTCACTTCTTCGAAGAAAGAAGTCCATGTTAGAATACTTGTAGTACCATATCTTCTCTGTTGCTGCTCTTCTTCTCGGCGTTTTGGTAACAGCAAGCTCTCTTCCATGGCGGCGTCTGCTGTGGAATCCTGGAGCTCAATCAGTGACTCGTCGCCTAATGACTTTGGAGGTTTGGATTTGGAATTTTACGTAATATGTGCGGATTGCGGAGGGAGTGGAGGGGAAAGTTTTACCTTTTCAAGGACCGAGGCCAAAAGTAAAGTTTTAATAGACAAATATATAACACAAAATTTTAGAAACTAGAGTATAGCTGATAATTGATTTATTATTAAATGTTGATAATTATACTTATTTTTATTAGTGACATATTATTTAGTTTACAAATTCTGTCTCTAAATTTAATCTCTCTAACATTACCAAATAAAAAAATAAAAAAAACTAATGAAAATGGTTTGAAAACTTTGAGTTTTAATGATAAGGACAAAATAAATGATAAAGTGAATAGTATCAGGATTGATTTTTTAGTGTAAAAATGTACATTTTCGTTAAAATGAACCGCACTGAAAACTTTTCGTTAAAATTTTCATAAAAAAAAAAAAACACGAGACAAGCTCAGAATAAAAAGAGAATGATAATTTAGAAACTTGAAATTTTTTTTTAAGAAAATACATTAATAACGGAACAACTAACGCAGAATCAAGTGCAATAACTTTTTAAAATTCATTTAACAAACCATACGTGAAAAAAAAAGACTTTTTATCGTCTTCGTCATGTCACAAAAACACTTACCTACCGTCGTACCCCAACCCCAAATCACGCCCGTCCTGCTCCCCCTAAAATCACGACCGCCCCCCCCCCCCCCCACTTTCAATCATGACTGTCCTCCGCCCCCTCCCCGCCGGGCGCCCTCGGGGCAAAAGGAAAACGTCCGTCCTCCCCCCGTCTTTTCAAGCACTTTTTTGTATTGCATGATAAATTTTACGAGACAGTTGGGGGATGGAATGGTCGATGCTGGTAGACTCAACCTGCAACTATTTTGTAAGATTAATTGATCCCTTTGTCAATAAATATTTGGACCAATCCCCCGACAAGATGATTTCTGATTGAAAACTTTAAAAAGACGTGTCTCGTTTGATTGTGGTTAGGAATGAGCTGAAAGTCTTACAAAAAATGCTTAAAAAAATATTTGACTCGTGACAGACGATGAGAGTTTTGGAAGTTCTTCTCCATCATATTAGCCAACCCTCAAATTTTTAGGTGTTTTGTTGTTTTGTATGGATTCTCTCTCTCTCTCTCTCTCTCTCTCTCTCTCTCTCTCTCTCTCTCTCTCTCTGTGGTTAGCAGCAATAAACAAAAACAATCAAATTCATGTGGCAAAAGATGCTAATTTGGTGAAAAATGGCAGAAGTGAGCTCGAGTGTTAAGACTCCTCTAATTCCAGATCATCGAGAATTTGATGGTGAAACAATACCATCTCAAAGAGGAATTTGGAGAGGTGGGGATGTTATTGAAGAAGCAAAATTGCAGCTATGGCTGGCAGGGCCTCTGATTGCAGTGAGCTTGTTGCAGTACAGCTTACAAGTCACATCTGTCATGTTCGTTGGCCATCTTGGAGAGTTGGCACTCTCCAGTGCTTCCATGGCCTCTTCATTTGCTTCTGTCACTGGTTTCAGTGTACTGGTAAGTTGCTTCTCTTCACATGAAACGAAGATGCTAAGGTGGCAATTTTTCATCTTTGTCGCGCATTTTTTAACTTTTTTGTATTGCCAATATGATTGATTTGCTACACAACGACCTTTTATTCCCATTTCATGTAAGTCGTTAATCAGTTGAGTAACATGGACTTCCTTCATTACTGTGATTCTTTATGGTCCGTTAGCGTTTTTGCTAAAAGCACTTTAATTTTGAGGCCTACCAAAAATTTTATTAAAATTAAGGTTCTTTATGGTGCTTTCACAACATAAGAGCACTTTCAACTTTTTTTTTATAGAACATTGCACTTTAAATTATCTGTAAGCCCTAAGTGATTTTCCTCTAATTTTCTCTCAAAAACATGAAATATGTCTCACAGCTGGGAATGGGAAGTGCATTAGAAACCCTATGTGGACAAGCCTACGGAGCCAAACAGTACCACATGCTTGGAGTCCACATGCAAAGAGCAATGCTTACACTATTAGCAGTAAGCATCCCCTTAGCAGTCATCTGGTTCTACACAAGCACCATTCTCATGGCTCTTGGCCAAGACCATGAGATATCTGCGGAGGCAGGAACCTTTAACCGCTGGATGATTCCGAGCCTGTTTGCCTATAGTCTCCTCCAATGCCTCAACAGATTTTTACAGACACAAAACAATGTGTTTCCAATGATGATCAGCTCTGGAGTCACAGCTCTTCTTCACATTGTGGTCTGTTGGGCACTTTGTTTTAAATTCGGACTGGGAAACAAAGGCGCAGCATTGGCAATTTGCATTTCGAATTGGGTTAATGTGGTGTTACTGGCATGTTACGTGCAGTTCTCGTCCGCCTGCAAGAACACTTGGACTGGATTTTCAGAAGAAGCCTTGAATGATATTGTCAGTTTTGTCAAACTTGCGATTTCATCAGCTATAATGATATGGTAAGTTTCTCATCAATGACACATATATGTGAAAAACCCTTTTTATTCCATCTGAATCACTAACCAACTATACTCTTTCGCGTTGCAGCTTCGAATATTGGTCTTTCGAAATGGTTGTTCTCTTGTCTGGTCTTCTCCCGAACCCAAAACTGGAAACATCCGTATTATCGATAAGGTAATGTTATCATATGTAACAGATAAAAACAGAAACAGGAAACACAAAGTAGAAATTACAGTTTCTCATCGTTAAATAAATTTGGAATAGCTTCTGAATTTTTATCATTAATGCAGCCTTAACACATGTTGGATGGTTTATATGATCTCAGTTGGTCTCGGCAGTGCTATAAGGTCAGTGATCCATGTAATTTTCTATAGCATATGAACGTCAAATATTGTACTTGTATACATGTTTTATTCTAAGAAATTGAGAATAATATTTCCCTGTTATCATAACAGCACCAGAGTGTCGAATGAATTGGGAGCAGGACGGCCGCAAGGCGCGCAATTAGCTCTACGAGTCATGACTGCAATGGCTTTGTTAGAGGGTGCTGGAATCGCAACAGCAACGGTTTTGGTACGCTTTGTTTGGGGAAAGCTCTACAGCAATGAGAATGAAGTGATTGTATATGTTGCTAGAATGATGCCACTGCTTGCACTTTCCGACTTCTTGGATGGATTCCAATGTGTGCTTTCAGGTCCTAATCAATCTCTGTATATTACTGCATCGAACTGCTTGATGAAACTTTTAAATTAACATGTTTTTCTTGTCTAAATTCTGATTTCGCTGCTAAAGAAATATAATTGGCTATCTAGGGGCTGCCAGAGGGTGTGGATGGCAAAATCTTTGTGTAGTCATAAACCTTGGTGCTTACTATGTTGTCGGAATTCCTACTGCTGTGCTTTTTGCTTTCTTCCTCCATATTGGAGGCATGGTGAGTCTCTCTCTCCCTCTCTATATATATACATACATACATGTATGTGTGTGTACGTGTGCGCGCCATTGACGTTTAAATTTGTATGAATAGGGGCTTTGGATGGGGATCATTTGTGGGCTTCTTGTTCAAGTCACAGCACTTGTTGCAGTAAATTTGTGCACTGATTGGCATGAAGAGGTAAGTCATTCATTTCACATTGCTAAAGCATTTTGTCTATGTTTAATACAAGTTCTTATAGGTCTTTTCATTTTGCCGTTTCAGGCAACGAAAGCTGCGAATAGTGTCCAAAGTACTGTCTTAGCCATCGACAAGGCAACATAGATTAGAAACGAAAGAACAACACCTTGTAATAGGAGCAAGGGTTCAATATGTTTCCAGAACTTCAAAGAACTGCATTCCATTTTCAATTTAATTTCCAACACAATACATGAGTACAGAATTTCTCTAAAGATAGAAGTGCACTAGGAATCTGAATACCAAAACTCACAGTTCCGTACGAGACAGTCATGCGAGAATTATAAATACATAGAATCGTTTAACCCCATGTACCACATCTTATCAGCCCAAACAATACAGATCAATCAACACTCTAGTCTATATGGTACAATATTAAAAAAAAAATGGGGATGTTTGAAATTAGCATAGTTCTGTGAACTGAAATGATCGCCACGCCCAAATTTCTCGTAACAATGTGACTATCCATCATGAAGCCATTCAACTTTACTACTGCACACAAACAGATGGTACAGTTGAGAGGGGTAGTTCTTCACCCTTGATGTTTGTTCCAGCTGCATGATCAGGTGAAGGAGGGGGCTGCTTTGTTTCAGTTCCACGATCAGGAGAAGAAGGGAGCTGCCTTGTTTCAGTTACATGATCAGGAGAATGAGGGTTTTGTTGCTCCGCATTCTCATTGTTCTCGGGATGAAAATTAATAGGGAACTTTGTGACTCTCGGCTTGTCAGCTAAAATGTTTCTCTGAACCCTATCAACCAACACCTTAGAGGGAGGTTCCTCCCTCAGCTGTTCATCATCATAATCATTGTTCACATAGTACCCCACTCTAACAAACTCCTGCCCCAGATATGAACATGTCAGTAGCAGCACCGTGACACCAATGATATCTTCCTCACGTATTTTTGACGGATCTGGAGGGTCTGCCTGCCATGGTAACATAACACACCCACAAACGCACACAAACAGAAAATGATTCAGTTTCTTAGCGATTGCAATACTAAAACATACTCGGAACAAGAAATCGGTGTAATTACCTGAAAGACAAAACGATAGTTGCCAACATTGACAGGACCAACAAGCACACTCTCCAACATTTGGTCATAAGTTTCATCTTCAGCAGATCCCACGTATGTCAGCTTCCATTCCAAGTCTGCAAGAAATCGAATAGTATTACATGTCAAAACCATTGATGTTGCAGTAAATGGTGAGTAAAATTGGGGTCATTAATCAGTGAAATTGATGACCCAAATGATTAAACTACGTGATCGATCTACTAGCTGTGCAGCCCTTCAATTTTTCATCCTAGTTTTACTAACAAAATAGCCCAATGTTTGAAATCCCTAATTGGGCAAATTATATCAAGAACCCTAGCCAAATCTCAAGCAAAACCCTATAAAAACTTCCTATAAATTCAGCTAATAAATTAAATAAACTAATTTGAAGAATCATGGGTTTGATAAAATTACCGTCTTTGAGGGGAGTCAAGCACTCGTACGATATTTCGAACTGAAAAGGGCTGAGGAAAGCGGCCGGGTTGTCCAGAACGGCGACGTTCGTAAGGTTGACGGCGCTCATATTCTCAGAGCGAATCGAGACTCCGTTGCTTCGTTAAATAGACCAATCCTAGCCGTCGTTTTGATATCCTGCGATGATCCGGCGGCTGGCGGATGAAGGAGGAGAAAGGAAAGTAGGAGGAGGAGGAGGAGGAGGAGGAGGCGGAGATTGCGAGACGTGAAGAAGTGGGAAATGGGATACGCTTTTTCGAGGAAATGTAAATATGTATTAATTAGATGGTGTGGAGGGAAAACTGGTACGGACTTTGGCGGGAGTTTTCAACTCTGTTGGATTTAGGCAGTGAAAATTGGGGGGAGTTGGAATTTAGTTGGGCCTCGTTGTTCGGGCCCATTTTACCCGACCCGTTAGCTTTGAGCTAACTGGCAGACGATGATTGAGCCCAAACCCACCAGTGGGTCACGCTCCTAGCTAATTGTTCGGCCCTATAGTAACAAATTAAGGACTCGTTAGCTCGTTTGGATGTGTTTTAAAAATGACTGAAATCGTTTTTGGTAAAAATATTTTTGATACCAATCCTTAGTAAAAATCTAAGTGGATCCTGAAAAAACACTTTAAGTACTTTATGCAAGAATCACATATATGATATTTCTTCCAAAAAGCACTTAAAGTGCTTTTGGAACTCAAAATCAATTTAACCAAAAACACTTTTAGACATTTTAAAAGCAAATCCTAAATAATGTTCACGGAACAAAGTAGACACAATGTTCAAAGTTTAAGTAGCATTGCTAAAGTTTAGTTTCTCTACTCTTCCTCGTGTAAGTCATGACACTAAGAACAAGCGAAATTGCTACTAAATTACATTACGAATTTACTAGAGTAATTTCCAAGTAACTAATTTACAATTTGCTTAATTTTGCTAGTAATGTGACAAATTTTTTGCGTACATTATTCATTTTTCTTCAATGAATGAAAAGATGAGACTTGAACTTGTGATGTCTTTTAATACTAAGAATAATAAAATTGGAAGAAACAAAACAATTGTGTGTGAAGGCAAATCTAAAAATATGCTTTGACTTGTTTGTTACCTGGTTTATTGGAAATGTGGAATCGCCATACGACGCGAGGGCATACAAAGCTCATGCGACCAAGCTTGCAAATCCTAAGGAAAATTAACCTGACACATGATAGCGCCACCGTGGACGTAGATCCACTGCCCGTACCATGCATTTCACAACATCAGATAAAATTAAATTATCCTGTTAAAAAAAAAGGAAATTTAAATGCCAAAAAATGAGAAAATTAAATGAAACTAAAAAAAATGGAAAATTAAAATAGAAGAAAAGTTAAACATTTGGGAGTGTTTGGCAACAAAAGATTTTTTAACGTGTTGACAACACGATCCGATACATTAAATATCATAATACAAATAATTAAATATTAAATTTTTTTTTTAAAATAATTATATATATAACAATTGATATATTAGACCGTATACAAACACACTCGCCATCCATCAATACGGAAAATTGCCCAAAAGATCAAAAAAAAAAAAAATGAAAAATAACAAAGTGAAAAAAAGTGAAAAGTAAAAAAAAAAAGAATATTCTAATTTTGGGACCGAGCAGCTGTACATATACCAATTGCAACTGGACTCCGCAAACCCTAGTCTTTTCCTTCACACTCTCTCTCTGCTTTCTCTATCAGAAGCCCTAACAAAAATGGCTTCGCGTAGGCTCTTATCCTCTCTTGCCCGGTCCTCCGTCCGCCGGGCGCCGTCCAAATCTCCGATCTCAAGCCCTAACCCCAGGGTCGCATCCCCATCGCCGTCTTCCCGATCCGCTTCCCCATACGGCTACCTCCTCAACCGCGTCGCTCAGTACGCGACCGCCGCTGCCGCCGAGCCCCAGACGGTTTCAGCCTCTCCGAAGAGCAAGGATTCCGGGAATGGAAAAATCACCGACGAGTTCACCGGGAAAGGCTCGATCGGGCAGGTGTGCCAGGTGATCGGAGCCGTCGTTGATGTGAGGTTCCAGGAGGGGCTTCCCCCGATCTTGACGGCGCTTGAGGTGCTGGACAACTCGATCCGCTTGGTGCTCGAGGTGGCTCAGCACTTGGGTGAGAACATGGTCAGGACCATTGCTATGGATGGGACTGAAGGGCTTGTGAGAGGACAGCGCGTGCTCAACACCGGTTCTCCGATCACTGTAAGCTATATATGATTATTTTCCGGTATGCGCTTTCTGATTTGATAAGAAATGAGTGTTTGACTTTGATGATTGGATTGATAGAAACGAGATGGGTTTTGATTGATTTGTGAATTGTTGGTGGGGGTTTTCAGATCTTGGTGTTACTACTATTGATTGATTTATGGTACACATTTTTGTAGTAGAAATGTAGAATTGTTGTTTGATTGATTTACATTTATGGTGCATTGTTAGCCATTAGAATTACTCGTGTTCTCAAAGACTAGATTTTCTTCAGAATTTAAGTGGACAAATTGTGATCTTTTCGTCGGAGTTTTCCTATCTATCCTTTTTAGTTCTGATCATTTACAGTTTTGTTTTGGCGTACTTGATGTGCTTATTGTTTTGGAGATGATTTTAGTGGTTACATTTGGATTTTCCTTGATATCTGACTTGTATTTTGGTTTTATTTGCTATTTTAGGTTCCTGTTGGAAGGGCTACCCTTGGCCGTATCATGAACGTCATTGGAGAGCCCATTGACCATAGAGGCGATATCAGTAAGAAATTTGTAAACCTTGAAATAAATAATCACTTGGTTATGATGTGTACATATTCTGGTGTATTACGTTAATACACTGCGCCCACTTTCTGATAATTTATGTGTGAACACTCCAACAGGCACCGATCACTTTCTGCCCATTCACAGAGAAGCTCCTGCTTTCGTTGAGCAAGCAACCGAGCAGCAGATCCTTGTTACTGGAATTAAGGTATGAACGTTTACTATGTAATTTGTTTTAGAATTTGATTCTGTTTTGCTTTATTTCTCCATTGCCTTTGGATTCTATGTGGTGCTTAAGTATACTTACTTCACCTGCTTGATATACAGGTTGTCGACCTTCTTGCTCCCTACCAAAGGGGAGGAAAGATCGGGTTGTTTGGTGGTGCTGGTGTGGGAAAAACTGTGCTTATTATGGAACTTATCAACAACGTTGCTAAGGCTCATGGTCAGTTTTTTTAAAAGATGTGCATGTTAACAAACTTGTTTGGTTGTTTTTATTGCTTGTTTACATATCCTTGTTTCATTGTTTAGGTGGTTTCTCTGTGTTTGCTGGTGTCGGAGAACGTACTCGTGAGGGCAATGACTTGTACAGGGAAATGATTGAGAGTGGTGTCATTAAGCTAGGTGAAAAGCAGGTAGACTGCTTTCACATGCCACCCCTTTCTATGCATTTGTTACTGTTACTGTTTTCTGGAAGTTGTTCCTTATTTGTTATTCTCCTCTTTCTGTCTTATGTCAGGCTGACAGCAAGTGTGCTCTTGTGTACGGTCAAATGAATGAGCCCCCTGGTGCTCGTGCTCGTGTTGGTTTGACTGGGCTCACTGTGGCTGAACACTTCCGTGATGCTGAAGGGCAAGATGTGCTTCTATTTATTGACAACATTTTCCGATTTACCCAAGTAAGTACTCTTGGTGGAGAACTGTGAAAGCTTATA